TAAAATTTAAAATTTAAAAATAAAAGATTTCTTTGAATAATTTCTTCTAATTTATTGATATTTTATATACTTTAATATTCAATATAATTTATTTCAAAAAGATTATAATATTTAAATCTTTAATATTAATTATAAAACTTAAATTCATTTTAAGATTTATTTTAAGTTTTTTTAAAAAAAATAAAAATAATTAGGAAATCTAATAAGTTATGTTAAATGCAATTCTTATTACTTTTTTGATTTTTTTGATTCTTTTATAATAATGTTATTATCAAAAAATCTATTAATATATTTTATAATTCTATAAATAGATTTGATTCTATCTTTATTAAACAATTATATATTAAAATTATATATTCTTTTTATTCAATTATTCAATCAATTTTTATTTCAATAATTTGAAAATTCGAAAAATTCAAATAAATACTATTATTTAATCCTCAATTTAAATTTTATTTCATTTTAATAATTTTCGAATTTTAAATTGATTTTTATTTTGAAATACAAAAACGTGCATATAGTAGGGGCGTGTACATAGCAGGGATATCGGTTACTGCGTAAGGGATTGATTAATTCGGATGTACTAATTAATGTATATATCTAGTAATAGATTCGAGTCTCGAGCCGTTCCAAGTAGTCGGGTCGGAGTCTCGGTCATGATCTTGATGTCTGGACAGAGGTGCAGAGTACATATTTACACATGTATCATTTGAGATGTTGTCCGATGCAATGCGGATTATGTTATGTTGGAATTGATGGTGAAGCCAGAATGAGATAGATATAGGAGGTCAGTGCGTCTGTCACATCTCATTTTGAATCCTGATACAATGATAGCATAAACCTTTAGCAGTCATTCAACTGGTTGGTTTGTAATATGGAGTGAGGCATCATAAGGAATTTGAGCCTAGGCGTTGTTACAGTTAGTCTTCAAATCCGTAGGGCTTAGCTGTTACAACGGTTGTGTGATAATGTTCAAAAATAACATTGCTTCTAGAAGTTAGAGATTGTAGATACTCCGTAGACGAGGAACTGGTTCGTGAACTTTCAGTAAGGTTACTAGCGAGAGATTTTTATCTAGCGGAAAGATGAAGCAAGATCAGTTTGAAATACTTGATGATTCTGAAATAGTAATGAAGAGTAATTATGGAGTTATATTGAAGATACAGAGGAAGGCTGAGGGGGCACAGTCTAGATAGGCGAGGATGAAATTGCCGCGCGAACGTTGTAGGTAAAGAAATCAAGTATCTGTGAAATTAGCAACGTAAATATTACCAAATATTGTGGTATATCGTCACAGTGCTCGGCGGGTCTTGTGAAGGTTCTGTAGCGTGAGTGCCGACGTGATATGTCTGAAACTACCTATTGATACAAGCCCGGAGGGGATTTGATCCGCGAGAAACCTTTATGAACTTCTATTGCATGAACAATGTTCACGTTTCCAAGTGAACGAGGATGACGATATTCACACATGAACGATAGATCAACGCGTGAGACAAAGAGGGTCAAACGAAGGGAGTCTCCACTACCACGTGCTCGTGACGAGCGTGTACATTTCCTATTCATCCTACCAGCTTTGATGGGATTTTTATAGACAGATAAAAATGAGTCGTGTGGCAATCAGGGGGCTTTGTACCCAATAAGTTCATTTCTAATGCAAGAAAGTACGGAATATTGCAGGAAACCAGGTGCCTACTCGTAGCACAGATATTATTTTTGTAATTGCAGTTGTTTTGCACTGGGATTAAACGAGCTGGTTTTGGGGGCCATCTGGGCGGCGATGTACGCAGTGACCACACCTGTTTTTTGTACGCGAAATGAGCATTTGTAAATACCTGGAGCCGATATGCGAAGTAGAGATTCAGAACTCAGCCAGATAGAATTCAATCTGCCTTGCATCAAATACCTTCCTCAAATATAAACAAATTTTGGCAAATGACTCTCCATTCGAGTCAAGATTGATAAAAATAATCGACGGCCGGCCCCGCAGCATAGATTCCCAAAGTGGATGACGATATAGAAAGGAGGGACCTTTTCGGAGATGTTGGACGATCATTGCCACTTAAAACAGATCCTTCTGCGGGTGCTTGATAGGTCAGTTGAGACTACGTATCCAGAATTCAAGAGTAATCCCTTCGCGGCAGCAATATCATTCATGCTATTACGCTTGTGCGATGGCCAACAGACGTCAGCTTCGGCGTCAAAGTTACAACCAACAGTACATTGAATATGAGATGTCGTTGTGATATCAACTTTGGCGGATAATGGCGTGAGGATTGTCGTAAAGAGTCAACCTCTCAGCAGGCTGAACGGCATTTTTTTCAAAGCAGCGGGGCTCTCCGGTACCTGGTATGAGGGACTAGACTATTTCATCTACATTAGCTTCAAACCAATCATTAGCTTCAGGGCACTGTGGGACCGTAAACAACAGTTTGCTTGCCTCCACTACTCTTTCAGACCCGATCCTGCCGACATGCAGATGATTATGTAAATGTAAACATGAACGAGAGCACTTCCTTTTTCGACTTTGTCTATCCTTTGGATGAGATTTGACGTTGATGCGTTTGCAGTTGTCCATGGTGGATGGCTGGCTGATAATTATGATTCCATTATGACTGACTTTGCCTCTCCGTCTTTCTGCATGATATTTAAGCCACTCTGCCCAGCCTCATTGCGTGGACAAAAAGTGGAAGTTGTGGCAAGATCGCGGGTCGATTCCAGCAAAGTGCACACGAATTCCAGGAGGACTAAAAAAATACGGTACAGTACCTAGTTAAGAATGTCCTTTCGTATGGTGTGTTTGAGTGAGACGGCACGATATTGTGCGAAATATCAAATGTACCTAGACCATTTAGTACATTACGTTCTAGTACGCACTACACGGTGGCTTCTTTGCTTCCATGCGTATTAAATTCCCCGGCAGAAGGACTCTACTCTGTATGGAAAGGCGTGACTTTGACAATACAAGGAACTCTTGCCATTTATATCGCCTGGCTTGACCTTTCCGTTCTCTTTGGCGTTGTGTTCAATTGGGAAGTCCAATCGCATGATTTCAGGCCCACCTGTCAAAATTAAGTCAACAGCTTTCGAATCGACATTGCCTTCAGGTATCTAGGTTACCCAAGCCTTCTCGTGTTTATTAGATACTTTACGGTCTTAGTACAAAGTATGATATACTCGAGTGTCAAAGTTTTGAGCTCGTTGGATCCTCAATTCCAAATTAAAAATCCGAGGTCACGACTCGCTTCTTGTTCAGTGGACCTTTGGGGTAGTACGATCTTCCAAACTTTGTTTAAGGAAACATGATCTTTTTCTTTCCGAACCATGATCACATCTATTAGAATTCTACCACAGTAGATCATCGATCGGATAAACTCCAATAAAGCTTTTGTGATATTGATCAGGGGTTGTAACATAAATGATGATGAAATACGACCTTACGCGCGACCTTTGGACCTGCATATATGTTTACACATCTGCAATTAGTTGAAGCAATGTGTGTGGGTGGGCAAGTGAGTGAGTGGACTGCGGAATACGTTAGCTGGTATCTAGCAAATTTTGTGTACGCCTAGTTGTAAGCTTGTGCCTGTAAGCGAAAAGGGTGTATTTACCTCCTAGCAAATTGCGGAGTTCTAATTGAGGGGGAAGAGGGGGCCACGGCTCGGTATAGGAAAACGAAAAGATAAATGAAATCAGTTGTTGATGATTACTACCTGTAAACAGAGCAATTTGGAATACACAGTCAAGTAGGCAACGCCTCCCCCTTGTAAATCCTTGTGGTGGCTTTCTTTATCAACGCTCTTCTGGTTCGGTTGGGTTGGGTTGGGTTGGATTGAATTCAATTCAATTCAATTCATTTTCTTTCTTGGGTATTTCTTCCTCGCCCGTGCCAATTATAACTTATATCTGAGAGCAGTCAACAATAAACCAATAACCCGATCATCCAATGGTATCAATTAGCCATGGAGAAAAGACCTAATGTGGAAAAGTCAGGAGTGGATCCCCCGGAGACGCAAATTACAAGGTGACCTGGTCATCGTATCCATGCAAAGGCAATCAACTTACCACACTCTCACACCCAATGATTCAGCTCGTTGGCCGAGATTTTCTTAGACACAGGGAAAAAAACACCCATCACCAGTATTTCTCCAAAACTTTCTCAACCACTCTTCAGCTTGCCAATTGGCAACCTCCTCCCAAATGTATCCTCTCTCTCCGATAACCCAGGAATGCTATATTCCTTGTTCAAATATTGTAATATTGTGCCTCTACACGCAAATCTTTTCTTCCAATTAAATCTGCAAGGTGGATTTATATCCTAATCCGGTCAACCACTAGTTGATACTTAAGACTTCATCCGCGTCTTTTGCTGGCCGAAACACCATCTTCTCACAGGGATTCGTCCTACCGTCCCTTCAAGGAAGGCATAAGGAAAGACCAATCCTAGCTCATCATGGAGCCAGAGCACCATCATGGGCAAGACCCTCGCGTGCGTCCCAAGCTACGAGACTCCACCTATGGTACTCAGACTGCACTTATGTCGCCTTATACATATGCAGGCTTGTAATCCCCATTCTATCCATTTGGATCAGTTTCTATTTTTCTCATCTCTGTATCATACACAAACGTTCCAGTTCCATTTTTGAAGTCTCTCTGCTTTCTTGATATCAGCTGAAGTATTGTCAAAACACCTGGCGATGGCCTTATGAAACTCTTCCAGTATTATATCCCACGGGCCTACGCACCACCGAGCGTTCAAACAGACTAGACTTTCCCATCACTGGTTTCGTAATATACCACATGACGATTACAAACGTTTAACTTCCAAAAGTATATGACAGCTGAAGAAGAACGCCACAGCATAGAGTGTTCTTACACTTCCTTCCGTCCATTGATATACGGCCGGTCCGGTGTGAGAATCAGGAAAGTTCACACACCTGGCTGCCGTCATTTTCAATCGATCTGGTGTTCCTCTATCTCGATTGTTGATTCTCATCTCCACAATGAGTGGTTCTAATTCGACAGTTTTTGGCCAGGGCAGGTGTCCAGCGCCGTTCCTTGAGGCAGATCTCTTCCCATCGACAGGTGGTTGTATGTCTTGCGTACTCTCCGGTCCGTTTCACCATGCTGACAATATATAGTTATCGATGGAAGATTTTGCTCTACCACCTTGGGGGTCATTTGCTGCTTGCCATGTCCACAGACTGAATGGTTTTACGGTGGAAGCATCAACACCCTCACCGAATCCGCAAATTGGGTCAGTGTAGCGGCGATGATATGTTCTATATACTTGTTGATATGCTTCGCATTTCTGCCAGTTGAGAAGACCCATAGGCACTACCTCAGTATCTGCTTGGTTATTGCTACAGTTTTGATGCAGGTAAGTCACTAGTCCCCGTGCCTTCTACCAACCGCTTCCTAACATATGTCGCCAAAAGTTGGGATTCATTATACCATTAAGCGCAAACCCCGATCAATGCTATAACGCAATCACTCCGAACGATATGAGCACTAACTTTACTTGTGCGATCTCTGGCGCATTCATAATGGCTGGAGGCTGGTGTGGTGTGATGTGGGTCTTCTTAAGGTCCCTCGCCTTACATCTACAGATCTGTTGGCAGGTGATTATTGGGAAGTCATTCATGTGGGGAGCTCTTGCTACTGGATGGGGAATACCGGCCATTGCATTATGTTTTGGAATGATCTTCAGTGGTGTTTCCTTCCGATTTGGAGATACTTGCCACATCAATCACGAGAACAGTTTAGCGGACTTCTGGATTCCTCTTCTAATATTTTCTGGCGCCACCGTTATTATCCAGTTCGTTACTTTCGGTTACTGTATTAAAGTATATCTTTCATCCCTCACAGACGATTCCAACACCACGGAAACTTCAGGAGTTCTGCCTTCGTACACTAACAGTGTACGCACTGTCTCACCACGACAAGCATATCGTAGAGTTCGCCGAGTGATTGAGTTACAATGGAGAGGTATCGCTATTGTACTAGTGATTATCGCTGATGTCACATTCTTTGCGATTGTGTTTGTCTTCATGGATGATTTAGAAACAAACATCCTCAAGGATCCTACCAAGGCGGAGCAATGGTTAACATGTCTGGTGCGAACTGCTGGAGGTAAAGAAGAGTGTTTACCTTTAGCAAAATCTCTAGTCGTGAACGAGGCTACCGTTGGTGCGGTCCTTGTCATGCTATCCGTTAGTTCTCCCCATTGCCATCCTTATTCTACTCAATTGCTAATGTGATTTAGTTCAATGGCTTCTGGGCAGCAATATTCTTGGGAAGAAAGGCAATGATTACAGGCTGGTATGAGATGTACCGTGGAAAAATCAAGCCCAACAATGAATTCATCAGTGCCGATGTTCACGCCTTCAAAGATCCCAGGTCATACGAAATGCTTAGCAAGGATCGAGATCAACGTGACAGCAAGAACATAGAGGCATACGGAACTCCAGATGCCGTCACTCCAATTTCACCCGTTCGAAAAAGTGGTCGAGAAACACCAGACTACTTTGGCAGAGAAGCAAGATATAAATCACCGTCACGTTCATTTTCCAAACCCCATCCACCACAATCGTGGGATTCTACCACAACATATGCTCCACCCATGAATTCAAGCACGAACAAATTCTAGTATGGGTTCTACATGTATATTTTATTTATTTTCAAGCATTTTTTTTAGCGATGTTTCATGCTGTCCCTCACGAAGGGTCAAACAGGAGTTTGGTGGCTTGGCGACTCGGCGGCTTGGCTAGGCGATAGAGCGAGAAGAAATAGAGAGCTCGGCTCGTCACCCCACGCGGGATGAAAAGACTTTGGATAGTCACCTACATGAATCAAGTCAGGATACAAAAAGGACGAAACCTGGAACAAACCATTTTTTCTTTGTCCAAGAGAAGGCCGGTCAGGTACGAAAGGGCTCCGACCGGATGGATAGAATTATGGAGGGGGATTGGGTATAATGTGTTTACAATACTCAGATACCCATCATAGACCAAAATGGTCATCGAAATTACTGGTTCGAGGGTACTAATACTGCTACAGTTGTAGTAGGTATACATAGAGATCTCGAGTCCCGAGATCTCGGATTAGGTATGGGGTATACCCCGCCTACGTAATGACGATCTGTACTTTATTAGTAGTGTTTGTATGTATTATGATGACATCAAATAGAAAATATCTAAACCAATTATCTGATGATTTCACTCCTGTTTGTACTGTGCTGGATTATATATTCTTCTGACGGCGTTGGGTATCCATCATGGAGATGTTATGAAGTCAAGTCCATAACATCCAATAGAAGCTAAACATTTTCAAGCCCGTACTTTGCTTAAGTTGCTAGATATTGTTGAACTACAGCATCACCAGTGTTCGCATTCCTTCCCTAATTCTTAAATCCAACAAGACCCTGGGCCTTCGCACACACAGAGGCATCCACTCTCATTAGCATGACATTGCCGTACTAGGGAGGAGCTAGTTCAAGCCCGATATTACCGGAAATTCGATGATGGATATCGTCTGCATCTCATAACGAAGGTTCAGTACTGGCTAATCACGAGAGGCAATGAGCAACGCAAACGAAAAGAAAATCTTGATCATATACTTGAGTATAACCTATGGATACCCGTCTCTTCGTGGCTTTCTCGCGAAATCCATGCTTGTTCATCACGATTCATAGCATCGCATCTACGGTTCCTTTGAATGTCTCAGAGTGGGTTTAGACTCTTTGAAATTGTATATTAAGCAAGGATTTCCTCTCAAGACTCAGAAGTTGAAGTCTGATTCCTCATTTCTTATAGTATACGCCGTACAAACGTGCCTGATCAGGAGAGTCCGAGAGCCTTGAATCGAGTTTGAGATCGTAATGGCCGGTGCCTTGGAATGGATACTATATCTATCTATTTAGAATCTTCCCCTCCGTCTCCGCTCTACACTCAATAGATAATAATGTCAATATTTTGATTGGACGCTAAACCAACGGCCTCTTACAACCAGAAAATACATAATCACGAGATCCCCATTCTCACCAGTCAGATACTCCTTCCATCCCTCTCCCCTCGAGGAGGGGGTGGTGTTTGGATTTGGGTTTGAGGGGGGGTTTGGAGAGGGGGGGGGGGCTGAGGAATCGAATTCGTTGGTAGAATATTACAAGATCATGGATGTTGAGAAGTAGCACCAGGAGAATTAGAAGGGAATTAAGTAATGAGTGTCATGGAAGATAGCGTGGAGGAAGGTTAAGAGAAAGGTGGTCGCCATTTAGCTATGAAGTGTCTGTCCGTGTTACATTAGGAAGGTAACCTGCGAAAAGAGTTATTGCCAGGTCGAACACTTGACAGATTAGGGAGCAAGCTTGTTGGCTGAATGTGATGACTTTTAAGTAATCACTCGTGAAAATAATTTGCACTGATGAAAAGGTCCAACAAGCTTATAGAAGTGCTCATGTAGATATCTGTTAAAACCCTTGATGGAAATATATGGAGGTTGAACGCAGACGATCTGGCAGGATACAGCACTCTAACTACTGTATGAAATTGCTTGGCTGATGGCGAGAGAATTCTACACCGATTAGATTGATTCCATAAACTCCAATGGAGTCATGCGGGATGAAGTGAAGCAAATCACTGAATCGAGCAAAATCACATATAACGATCAAATAGATAGACAGCGTTACAAGACATCAAAAATATTATTGTATTCTATATAAAAGAGCATAGAAGTTTTCTCTCCGGCTCACTAAACACCACATCACTTGAAGAAGTACACGATTCTCATGATCCAAATCCATTTCGTGAACCTACCTATACCCTGAAAGAGCATGACTGGCAATATCATATGTAAAATGTCACCAATCTAGGCCGTGGTCGTGAAGTATAAATTGGCACATTGATGTTGGACAGAAATAAAATCTCCACAGGCATCTCTGATATCTACCAGACATTACATGCTTTCCAAGAATGTTGACCTTTGCGATGCGAGAAATTGGTTCATGTGAAAGTGTTCTATTTCAAGGTCAGTTACGGATCGTGTGTAGATATACAATATCATAAAAAGTAGCAACCGAGAAGATTAATCAGATGTTCAGTTAGTTCATTGTTCCCTCCGCAGAGAGTCCTAAAACAAGAGGTACCAGAAAAATAGTAAAAAGAAATATCATCATTGTATCTTCTCGGTCGATTGTGAATGGAATGGGAATCTCTTACATTTAAATGATAGCGCGACGCAATGGAAAGTTTGAATAGTCAGTACAAACGACGAGGCTGATCCTCAATCAGTTATGATGAATTGATCATTACTTCTGTTGGTGAATCAAAGTTGTTGTCAGGAAAATTAAAAGCTCTGGACTTGAGAAATTTCTTATGATGTTCGGATTGCGCTAGTCAGAATTCAGTCTAGTACAGAAAATACCAGCTCTTAGCGTAAGCTAAGCGACGAACAATCCACACACATAATTTTGCGACGACGAACATTTTCAAATCTTTAACACCTCTCGACAATCTCAATCTAACGACCAGTTTAATCACCGTCGACAAATACCGCAAAAATGGGTCGTCTTCACTCCAACGGAAAGGGAATATCTTCCTCTGCTCTCCCATACTCCCGTGCTCCTCCTTCGTGGCTCAAGACCACCCCAGAGCAAGTTGTTGACCAAATCTGCAAGCTTGCCAAGAAGGGTGCTGCTCCTTCCCAAATCGGTGTTGTCTTGAGAGATTCTCACGGTATTGCTCAAGTCAAGGTTGTTACTGGTATGTTCATTTCCTCGTTCTGCAATTGATGTGGTTGGATTTTATTTTGAGAGAAACACGAATACTAATATTTTTATTTCTGCAGGTAACAAGATTCTTAGAATCCTCAAGTCCAACGGTACGATATCAAACATTACCTGAATAGTTCCATATATGCCATCATTGGATTATAGTACATCCTTGATGTGTCAATTTGTATCTTTACAATCGCCTCTGCTTGGTCATAGACTGACAGAGTGACAAAATAGGCCTTGCCCCAGAGATCCCAGAGGACCTTTACATGTTGATCAAGAAGGTACGTTCAATACTATTCTCATAACTAACGTTGAATTATACTAATCCAATAAATTTAGGCCGTCGCTGTCCGCAAGCATCTCGAGCGTAACCGCAAGGACAAGGACTCCAAGTTCCGTTTGATTCTCATTGAATCCCGTATCCACCGTCTCTCCCGTTACTACAAGACCGTCGGTGTTCTCCCACCAACCTGGAGATACGAGAGTGCCACTGCCAGCACCATGGTCGCATAAAAAGTTTCACCATGACAAAATGGATATGGAGTTGGGGTGTGGACATAATTGCATCACGAACTACACTACTTTCTTGAGAAGGAGTACTGCTATATTGGCATAAGAACTAAATAGCAAATTAAATATTAAGAAATACTTCCAGCGCCAGCCTTGTTCTCAATTATTGTCCAATTGTTTTAACGTGATGTCTCACTCCTTGAACGCCCATCTTGAAACGATTTTGATGTGCCTAGGGGTATTGTAACTAAACCCCATCTATTTTTTAATTTCCCCCTTCCAACTCCTTGGATTTTGATAATAAAAATTCTCCCAGTACTCGTAAAGGATCTTTTGGTCTATTAAGAAATGATTGTTAGTTTATACGCACCGTGAGAGATTCTTGTCGGGCAGCAGATCCAAGGTACATACTGGTCCTTGGCTAATAGTTTCATGCCCTCTAATAAACTTCCCGTAACAGTCTGATTCAAATAAACCCGTGCCGGCGCTCCATGCACACTTGCTTCAGTTGGCAACGATGGCCCCGTATCAGGATGTTGGCTGGTAGCTCTCGAAGAATTTTCCTTCTCCGCATTTCCATTTACCTTCGGTACTGGCGTACTTGTGCGCGCAGGGACGGGCGCTGGAGAAGCTGTTTCGCGATTTATGTTCGCAGACGAAGTGGAAGCTTGATGCGAGGGGGGTAAAATGGGCGAATGAGAATGTGTTTGCGATTGAGTTTGAGCAGTGGGTGGGAGAATTGCAGCGGCTGGAGACTGTGAAAGAGTTGTATGAGTAAGTATAGAGAATTCTAGTGCAGAAGACAGTCGCGAGAGGAAACGTCCAATTGAATTTGAAGGATGGGAGGAAGGAGAAGGTGGAGGGATGGGTGGAGGATCAGGGTCTGGGGGAAGTATAAGGCATACTGCAGGTCTATGAAGAGGTGCATCTTCCATAACCACATCGCGTGTTGCGCCCGGCATTTGGAGGACGCCGGAGGGTGTGGATGAGGGGGGTGTGGAGGAAGATTGTGTTTGCATCGCGAGTTGATAGGTATGCGCGGCTGAACTGATGCTGGGTGTGCTGTTAGGGTTGATTTCGGGTGATGGGGTCTCGGGTTGCGACATGCTGGTAGTGGAGTTAGGTGTGGATTTATGAAGGTATATGTTTATGTCGCTATGATTGGATTGTGTACGTAATTGGGTGGAGGAGGATTGCTTTCTGCCAAAGCGGTGAACCAAGTATGGTAGCTGGTAACGTGCTCAGGCGTATATTGGAATGATTGACGCGCTTGAAGACGCGGATGTAAGATACGTTCTTGCCATAAAATTATATGCGATGGATGAAGTACTTCTGTATACATAACATTCGGTATAATGGTACTCGAAGAAATTAAGAACGCTAATCACAAAGTTATGCTACATCGAAGAAGTCAACGTAAGATACCGCAAGACTTTAAAGATAAATTATTGCCACCTTCAAAGCGTTTGAAAACTGCAGAGAGTATAGATGGTGATGATCTTAGTTCTCGGTGTCCTTCCGATGAAGATGAATCATTACCTTTATCCCCACGAATCCGAAGTCCCATTCAATTCAGAAGTACGGAAATTCCCGATTCGGATGATGAAGGGGAAGATGAAGCGGAGCAGATTGTGGCTCCCAGATTGACGGAATTGGAGAGTGCATTGCCACCAGTTGTTATCAATAAGAATGCAATTGCTGAATATGAAGCAATGCGTGCCGAAAACGAAAACTTTCCAGATGATCTCAAAGCGAGGTTGACTGGGAGGACTTGGGAGAGAGGTAAAAGTAGTATTTATAGTGATGCTTTCAATCTTGCATTGGAAACTGTGTTAGAGGATGAAGGGCATCTGTTCGATGAGAAGGAAGTGGAAGTTTTCACGCAATGGAGAGAATTGGATTATGAAGCTCAATATTTGTAAGGCCCGATTATTATCTCTGTATTATAACTTTTGAGAGCTGACGAACATAGGTATGTACGTCTTTTCTTACGAAAAACTTCAGCATGGCATCGTATAAACCGTTTGGGTTATCATGGAGATTTGACGGATGTTTCTGCAGCTTCGAAAGTTCTGCAATCTACCCGAGCATTACCAGAATCAACTGCAACAGTTCAAGTCAATCCAGCAGAGTTGGGACCTCCCGAAGGAACAGTCCTTGGAGACTCGTTGACTTTTGCTGATTCGTCAGAAGATCAAATCAGAACCTTAGATGAGGCATTATCCCTATTGAACCTGGATGAACTAAAAGGCTTAGCAAAGGAACTCAAGGTTCAAGGAAAAAATAAACCTGATATACTAAAAGCACTTCGTGAAACAAGTCGAAGACAGGCTGGACTCGGTTATGTTGGGTTGAAAAGAGCCGATAGTGCTTTGAAATCAAACCCTACAACTCCAGATGGATCGATTCTCGAAGAAGAAGACGACAGTCTCGATCATGTGAACAGAGATGTTCATTTCCTCAGAAAGATCATGGCTATCACAGGACCGTGTATACGACTTTCACTGCCAGCTTTGAACTTATTCGAACGAGTCCATCTCGTCTTTTACAGATCAACCGAATGGACCGATAAGTCTCTAACCACAATCATTCTTGCCAGAATCTCCCGCCGTAACTTCCCCTCTTATATTGTCTCACGATCAACCAATATCTTCCCCACCCGTTCCACCCTCCTCGAATTTGAAGCATCAATTCGAACGCAATACCGCGTCGACAACATTCTCGACGGCCATCCAGGCAAATCCGACCTAGACCAAGTTCTTGAAACTTTCGAAGCCATATATCCCCGTTGGAAGATTCTCCTGGAAGAAGAACAACGCAAAGAAGACTCCATATATGAAAGTGGAGAGGGAGGCTACCTTCGTCGATTTTCTCCAGCATGGGTCTACACACGCATCGTGCATAAAGCCCTCTACGTACTCGGACGATTTAAGTTCTACGAAAAAGAATACGCTCTACTCATCGAACTCCTTTCTCAGAAGCTTTTTCATTCATCCCGAAGGGGTGCATGGTATCAACGTAAAGCTCTTCTAGAAGAACATTATATGTATAATCTCCTCCCAACCCCAGGAATTAAAGATCTAGAACAACGAAAACGTCATTGGAAACGTATTTCGCTCAAAACATGTGAGCAAGGTCTTCAAGATCGACATTGCCATACAATCTATCACTACGACTTACAGAAACGAATCCGTAAACTCGAGAAGACACTTAAGATTCCTAAGAGAGAAAAACACGATTTTGAGCATGTTCTTCTCTCTAAACCCATCGAAACAACTATTCAAGGAATTCAAATCAAAAAGTCGTATCTCACCCCCACAACTCTCCGACGCAAGTCCAGCGCACCCAATGGATTTGAAGAGAGACAACGCAGTACCAAAACCATTTGGTTAGATGAATATGAATCTCCATCAAGCCCATCCGAATGTTCCGTTGAACAATTAACTCTAAGCTACTATCGCAGTCTCGGGTTCCGCGGCTACCACTCCGAAGGTGGCATTCTACGCACTCTATTCGCATACCTCTTTTTCGACATCCTATTTCTTTACATCCCCAATGTATTTCAGACAGAATACCAAACTTGCCCTCTAGACTTACATACCGAGTCATTCTATGAAGCTCGAGCGTCGGAAATCAATCATCGTATTGTAGAGATTGAGAATGGAATGGCGGCGGAGATTATAAGGGGGGTTTGGGAGAGAGAAGGGGAGAGAAAGACGTGTGTAGTGGGTTTGAGATGGGACTTTGAGAGGAAGGACTTGGAGGGGATTGTGGAGGCTTTTGGGAGTGGGCTGGGGAAGGTGATGAGGGTTATGGCGGAGGAGTATAGGGTGAGAGGGGGTGGAGTGCCTGATTTGTTTTTATGGGATGATGGAGTGGAGGAAGAAGCGGAGGATGAGCCAACGAAACAAGAGCCGGTGAAAGGGAAATTGAAGGAAGAGAAAGATATCAAGAACGAAACTCCCGAAGAGGTCGAGGAGGAAAAGAAAGGGCCGCAAGTGAAGAATGAGTACAAAAATGGGTCACAAGACACCGTCAAAAGGAGAAGGAAAAAAGAAGTACTCTTCGTAGAAGTCAAAAGCGAGAATGATAGACTAAGCGATACGCAAAGATTGTGGATACATGTACTTCTAGGGGCGGGGATCAGGGTTGAGCTTTGCAACGTGGTAGCGAGGGAGGTGAGGGTTATTGATGCTGAATAGGGGGTAAAGGAGGAGTAAGGAGTTGATTTGGTTTCTGACGGAGTGAACTATATGGATTGGGAGAATGAACAGTATTGAGTGAGAATTTATTATGTTCAGGTGGTATAATAACTAGGCGATACGATTTCGATTGAAGATTTGCCTTCTTAGTTTTCATGCATGTTCTGGCGGATCAAGCCTGGCATCACAGGACTTTTCCTCCATTCGAAAAATCTACAACAGGCCTCGGCTTACCCCGCATTCAGATACTTGGGTGGCTTTGGGCTGCATTCTGGTATCTCAGATTCTTTCAATACTATTTATAGTCTCTCGTACCTCAGTACTAACTAATGTGGCGTCTCCGTAATACTCTTTTCCCACAACTCCTTTTCTTCTATAAGTGTAATCTATATATTACTTTATATTTCACAAATATCCTGAAATCAACAGTCGAAGTAAAATCTGGGTAGGATACATTTTGCTCTGGTATAATTCAATCATGTGCAAAATCTCCTCAAACATCCAATTCATCCTGCACCAACCTAATCCTCACCCCATTCCCATTCTCCACCGCCATTCTAAACCGTTCCATCCAAGGTCTTGAATCCCGACTTTCAATTTTCGAGAACTTCTGCATTACTCTCACAATAATATACGCCGAGTCAATAAAAACCATCTGCTGAGCAGGGCAAATGCGCGGTCCCCCTGAAAATGGAAGGTATTCCCAAGTAGGTCGCAAGGTTTCCCATCTCTCGGGACAAAAGTCATCGGCATCGCTGCCCCAGTAGCTTTTGTCGCGATGTAACGTGTGGATATCACATGTGATATTACTACCCTTTTTGATTAAGAAGGGGGCCTTCCCATCAGGGCCACCGCCAAGTGGTAGAATGGTGTCTTTGTGACATACTCGCCGTAGAAAGCCTGCGGTGGGGTGAAGACGGAGACCTGGGGAAATGGTTGATTAGACTGGATCATACATTACTGGAAAATATCAAGAATATGGTGATCTTTGAACGATGTCAAGCAAGAAACAAGTATACGTACTTTCATTAAACACATATCGTAAATATTTCATTGACTTCAGGATTTCGAAACTCAGCGTCTGTCCGGTCGTCGCAGCGAGTACTTCTCTCCGCAGTTTATCCCATCGATGCGCATCACGAGCTAGATGAAAAAATATATCGCTAACAGCTATCCCCGTCGCATCATGAGCGGGGATAAAGACATGAAAAAGCTGATAGCGTAAATCAACCGGATCCTGCGTTTCCTTTGCCATTTCGTTCAAGAGTATATACTGTTTTTGAGTGGTACTCTTATCTTCCTCTTCATTATTCTCTGCACTCTTCTGACCCTCCAGAACCCGAGAGACGTGTTTGTCAATATAGGCGTGCACTTTCCCGAAAGCCTTTTTCCACTCGATATCTCGACCACGAATGAATCTCAGCTTGCCAAGCATCATTCGTGCGCCGAGACCACGCATGGTCATATCGAATGCATTGAGGAATTCTCGAGCATCGAAGGGGGTATTCGGAGATTGAGATTCTACCGATTCACCGAACAGGAATTCGGTGGAGATATCTAGAAACTAGGAAAGAGACAGACACTCAGTCAGCCAAACAAGCAGATCGTGGTAATCCAGCCATGACAAAACAAACAATCGCAAGGAAAGATTCACCATACCAAATTCTTCGTAAGCGGTTGCAAATCAACCGTCGAGTCATCGCACGGAAGAAGCTCCAAAAACCGCGCGACGTGTTTCTCCAAAGCCCCAAGAATAGAAATCTCAGTCCGCGCAAACGTCGGTCGAATGAGCGCACGCGAGCGTTGCCATATCTTCCCATCCGCGGTAAAGATTCCCTGGGCCTCTAGCGATCCACCCCTTTCCTCCGGCTTCACCTTCACCTTTCCGAAACACCCAAACGAAAGCGCGAGGACGGTTTTGATATTTTCGGATTCGCAGGTGTCGATGACTGATGTTCCCCAGGAGTTGCTCTGGAAGGTTTTCCCATACGTGGCGTATAGTTGTCGGTTTGTCTGGAGTACTTTTCCGGCTTTCATCGCTGCGCCCATCTTGAAGATGAAATCGAGTCCGAGAAGCGGATCCTTGTGTGGACATTTCCTTGGCCGCATGCAGCCATTTTTGCGTTCGAGGTTTGCGATGGTGAGATGTTCGGAAAGTTTCTTGTATAGATATACGGTGATCAATATTCCCGTAGTCGCTAGAGCTAGATAGGTGGTGGTCCTCATGATTAAGAAGGGTTATTGAGAGGTTATAAGTGAGACAATTTCAAGATCGAGTTGTGAGAGAACTTCGTGGATAACTAAGTTTAAAACCCCCCCGCCTCGCTTTATCGTCATCATAATATGATCTACCAACATGTTGGAATGATATTAATGTTAGGAAGGATTCATCCTATCTTATCTAAGAACTTTGGATCATTGGGCTGCGGCACATGTTTAGAGCGGTTGGAATTGCTTTTTTTTGTTCGATAAGAGGAGATTGATACTTACTATTGGACTGATGAACAAGCGTATGACAAGCTCAGCCCTTTTGTGTTTTGCGCTACAAGTTGACATTGGCATGTAGAGTTGTAAAGCATACAAATCTAGCACAGTGAATTCCTATCTATGCTCGAGCTGGCTTGGTGCGTTTGGCTTGATGGAATCATAAATTCGCGGCGTAGCATGCAACTGCATAAGTGACGGAGCCTATATAAGTGACACAGGCCGACGACGGCAAGGAAAACTTCAATATCACGATTTCGTGTTGCAAACCAAACACGAAGGGGGAATTTTCACAGAAATAAATCTTTGTGTATTATTCAAGGACGTGAATGCAAATCCGGTACGTGACCATTACTTCGTATAGAAACAGCCCGACCAGTCATCCAACATCCTGGCAACCCCATAATTTTATCATCATATCCAAGCACTCGTGGTATCAAAACGACCAAAAAAGTAACCAATCCAAAAACAAAAACGTCAGAAATCCCCAAAATTTAAGCCACAACCCCAGTATCCCTACCTCCTCTTTCCTCAAACGCCTCTCTTGCTTTAACATTAGCCACTGCACTCTGGAACGCACTCGTAAGATCGACGTGGAACAATGGTCTATTGAGACCGGTAACAACAGCTGTTCTCGACCTCGTGACGTTCTTCGACACAGCTTTTAAATCACTGCCACTTCCACTCTCACTATCTCCTCTAATTTGATCTCCATTTCTCAGATCCCGTTCGCGCGTTCGCTGTTCCTTAATTTCTTTTTCGTTGGTTTCAGCTTCTGCTGCTGCTGCCGCACTATCTTGACCTCCCATTTCCGCAACCGAGAAAATAGGCTTCCAGCGGTGTGATCCTTCTTCCTCGGGAGTTGGGTATCCGAATCCAGCGGCAACGAGAGCACGTTTGGTCCAGCGGTTATTGATAGAGGTGAAATGCCAGTCTACGACTGAAGGAGACGCATAAGTATCCAGTTGATTACGGACATCGATGAGTTGTTGGATGGAGGTTATATCGACATTATTAACGGAGCTGAAGTCGAGGATGATAGCTTTGAGGGTAGGGCGGTCGCTATGATCTTCAGGAGCTTTGCCGCGACGTGGACCGGGGTCATTCCATGGGCGATCACCAGGTCGAGCGTAATGGTCAGGGTTGGTTCGACGGGTTGTTGCAAAAATTGTATTGGTAAGGTGATCGAGATAGTGATTGGCGTTTGGATAATTAAATCCTTCTGAGAATCGATAGATGAAGATGCCAGGATAAGGAGTTTGAACATCAACCTCTGGATTAGTTCCATCACCGTGGTCGAAAGGAAGGAAGACTGTTCGAGATCCAGAATCTTCGAATTGAGTGGCATCAGATTTTGGGAAGGTGCCATTGTCGGCCAAAGGTGCTGATCTATATTCGGCAATTTCACCTCCGATTGAAGTAACCTTGACTTTACCAAGAAAGCGTCCTCTAGCCTTAATGATTCGGAAAATGAGAACGGCGAATGAAACGCAAATGGTTACGTAGATACCATCTTCAATGGTGGTAAAAACGGTAACAATGACACCTGCGAAGAAAATCGGAACCTCGAGAGGGGATACACGCCAGAATTGATAGACGGTATTTGGGGGCGTGATGAGATCTCCGACAGCGTGAATAATGACTGCAGACAAAGCTGCACTTGGAATGTAAAAGAAGACTGCCGTAAGTGCGTAGATAGCAAGAAGAACAACGACAGCGGTTATGACACCAGCGAATGGAGTTCGAACACCAGCCTTCGATTTGATAGCTGTACGAGAGAAAGAACCGGTGACTGGATAACCACCAAGGAAAGCACCAAAGATGTTGGTGACACCAATAGCTACCATCTCCTGAGATGGGTTGATAACATAGTTGTTGACACGTCCGAAGGATTTCGAAATTGCGATGTGCTCGATAAGGAGAACGATGACAGTGGCCGGTAAATCTCCTACAAAGACGTTGATAATCGAAGAGTTGACTTCTGGCACAGCAGCATTTTGAAATCCTCGTGGAACTTTACCAAGAATCTTGAAGAGTGGCTTTTTGCGATGATGCATGTTTACAAGCCAACTAACCAATGTATATAACAAAATGACAAATACGGTTCGAAGAGTTGCGGCGAAGAAGAATGTTCTTTTGTGGTTTGGGAACTTCTTAGCTCCATAATTACAAGCCTAAAAATGATAATCAGTAATGATCAAGGTGTTGGCAAAGGTTCACAACTTACAGCTCTGAGCGCATATAACAGGAAAAGGGCTGTCAAGCCGATGGCTGCATCAAGTTTTGTATTGGGAAGACCCTTCAATGTGTTGATCACAACCTTATAGGTTGAAGCTCTGGAGCTGAAGCCTGTGATACCCATCAAGGTTGGAACTTGTCCAACAGCAATATTGATAGCGGAACCAGTCATGAATGCCGAAATTGAAGTGAGAGAAATCAAGTCGACAATCCAACCGCATCGAATAAGTCCAATAAAAGCGATGATGCAACCGGCAATTACAGCCAAACAAGATGCAATGACATGACCAGGAACATCAGGATGGGTGACAGCAGCTTTCACCAAAATTTGACCAACGAGAGTCGACATGACAGCAACAGGTCCGATAGTGATATCCTTTGACGTAGCGAAGAACCAGTAGACAAGAACTCCCATGAAGGATGAGTAAAGACCGAATTGAGGTTTGAGCTCAGCGAGGGTAGCATAAGCCATACCCTGAGGTACGACGACAGCACCAATAGTAATACCTGATCGACATTAACCATCAGACTCATCAGAAAGCATTCGGTGCTACTCACCAGCTACCAAATCTCCAAACAACCATTGCAGATTATAGCAGCCAATCCAACTTAAAAATGGAAATAGCGAGCGGCCATAAGCGGCGAGATCGTGTCGACTTGGAAGGGTATCCTGGATCCATTCTAGACTTCGAGGTTCTTCCTCTACGAATGTATCGGCTGTTTGAATGGAAAAGACTGACTCTCCTCGTAGAATCTCCTGACTGTTGAGTTCATCGCGATAGTTGAGTTTGATACCAAGGACCTTCGCCAATCCATGGCCAACTTTGGTAGCAGCCATTGTGGTAAAAAGCAACTTGGCTGTGAAACCTGAGAGAGCGGAAGATTAAGTGGACAGGAAAAAGGCTATTCCGCAAAGGGTGGGTGTCAGTAGATCTGACCTGACAGATATGACAAGGCGATCTGCAAGTTACTCCCAGATGGTTATCCAAGAATCTGTAACTTTATGAGCGGATGCAGGGCTGATATAGCCGTATCTGCTCCCAGAAAGTCGGGTCGAAATCAGATGATTTTATCTGACAATTGAAGAAAAATGGGAATTAATGAAAAGTAAAATTGTCTTACATCGGAACTATTCAAATGCAGGTCGAAGGCTGGAATAGATAGTGCAATTTCTAATTGTAAAAAAAAGAGGCTTTTGTTCTCGAAAGACTTGAAAAGGTAAGACGTGATCCAAGAGTGGCATTCAGCAATTGACCTCTTTGAAATTTGGGGGTGCGCCACCAATGTATTGCGTGCTCGTGGATGAATAAGATGGAAGAGAGAAGAGCAAAGGAAACGACCAGGTAAATAAGTGAATCCCTGTGTGTAACCTTAGGCTGATCCGGAATTTGGAGCTTTTTGAATTGAAATACTTTGGTAGTAGACGTCAAGCCAAGTCTAATGGGCTTGCAAATTCTTCGAGTTTGGGGGTTTTAATATTATACTACTGTGAAGCTAGAACGACTTGCGGGAGATTTGTCTCGAAATGGAAGAGGATATTCGTGGTGACGGGATCGTGCTGGAGAGATGGCATTAGTTGACAAGGGTACAATATAAAGTGGTTTGATGGATGTACATCTAAAAATGGTGGAAGTACTTACTTATGGTAATAATCCAATGATAATTATTAAGAATGGGTTTGGCATGTATTTTAATTGGTATTCTCTGAATTTCTAGAATTCGATTTTCTTGTTATGGGGACGTGGAGATGGCAGTAGCGGATGGCTACTCTTTCTTGATACAACTACAACAGGGTAGGGAGTATCCTACAACTTTGAGATGTATCGAGACTCAAGACTCAAGACTCAAGACTCAAGAAGAGGTCCTGTAGGTACTCTAGACTCGAGAAAAAGCGCTTCAATCTCCAAGGGACCAAGGGTATAAGTTTGAACCTCAATTCACCATCAAATGTCTTGAATTGATTTGGGTGTAAACGTAACCACAGGTATTCGGTGTACGAATAATATGGGGAAGTCATTTATCAAGGGGGGAGGGGGATTAGAAATACACTCTGGCCATTTCTCAAGCCATTTCTTTTACCCATTTCTTCTCAGAGCGGAGTTCTTCTCTAACATAAAATTCTCTTCTTTTCATAGGTAGTCTCGGTAGTATACTACGAGACTACGTACTGTCCTGTCAGTCTATTTCATGGCAAAGTTGATCTAGTGTTACATGTACCACATTTTAGTGGATATGTAATCATCATTACCATTGTTACCATAATTATGCTTTCTTTACCCCGATCTTAATTTGGTTGAACACAGAGTTTCCGCCTAGATCTTCCGTAGAAATCTCCAAGGAGAGCAAGGGAACCAAGGGAAATGGGGACAGCTCTTTGTGAATCCGGAACAAAATAAATGGACTTGTAGTGGATGAAGTGGGCGAGGTGGGAATATTTTCAACATGTCGACGTATTTGCCGAGCACGCAATTCGCTAAAATTGATCTAGTTTTTCGAAATTATAAATTAGTGTCAAGCGAAGAAGGAGATACTGCGTAGATCTCCAGGGACCAAAAGAAGACAAAGGAAAGCATTAAAAAGAGCTTTCTTTCCATCTGGAATCTTGAAAATGTGAACAGCTGAAAACTCTATTGTGTACATTATCCAATCATTGGCGGCAAGGAATAAAGAGGAAAGGGGAGTTTGAATAAAGAAATGAAGGAATGAATCATTGAAATGGCGTTTTCTCCTTGATTTCCTCATGAGTCTATTGTCTAGGGAGTAAATAAAAGATCAGCTCTTCATGATTTTTGACAATTTCACAAAGCTGTCTGTCTCTTTCAACTTTCAAGCAGTAGATTCGGCTATTGCCAGGCAAGGGTAGCTCAAACCTTGTTCATGCAAGTTGCAGCACGCGGATTATCCATTGGGAAATGTCCACCCAATGACCGTTTTGCTTCATGATGCAATGGGAGGGATGAAGATCGCAATCCGATAAGATACGATAAGGATGAGAAGAGGCTTGAAAAGCTCACAGACATCATGATAATTTCAAAATTCTGGAGGCTTGAAAGGCTTGGAGGCTTAAAAGCTAATATTTCTGAGCTGAGATCTATATTGTAAATGGGATGGAGTGCAAAATTGTATTTTGATTATTGAACATCGAGACCACCAGACTGGAGATGGTATCTTTCCCTTACCAACAAGAACCCGCGGAGATGAGGGTGAAGGAACCTCCCGTCAGCCAAATGTCTTGGGAGATACAATATGAGTTAGTCCTAACAATAGGGTCTGCGGATGGAGCGTTTGGGGCTGATAAAAGAGTATTCACCGCGTCGATGAGAGATATTGTCGAGAACGCATTCAAAATCCGATCAAGCTTCCTCTTTTGCCTCCAAATTTCCAAGATTTGAAGACTCATGTCGAAGTGGAAGATTGATTCTATATCACATGATATTTAACCACGTGATGGTATTTTCATGCGGCCTTTCGCGGTCTTCCAGACTCTGTATCCGTACCTAGGTCCCTTGTCGACATGTTGTTGGGTTGAAGTCAAAGCAGAAAGACAGTGAGAAGGACATTATTGTCATTCGACTTCAATCAGCATCTGAACGAAGTGTTGATAATTGATAATATCGTTGTAGGTTTGTACATTAGGTAGGTAGGTTTTTGTGGTTGTCGTAAGTTATGTATGTATAATAAGTATTATCACGAAAATTCGCGGTTTACCAGCCCCAGCTTCACTTTAACCACACTTCACACTTCAGACTTCAGACTTCAGACTTCACTCCTCGCTCAGACTTCTGCTGACATGACAACAACTCAATTTGATAACAGACAGTACAATAGAAGATAGAACGATACCATACTTCATGTGATTGTGATTGATTGTATTCACATCATCATATTCACATACTAGGTAATCATATTCACCATTTTGGATCTCACGAACAAACAATCGAATTTATTATCCTCACTCCATCACTCAATCCGTATCAACAAACAATGCGATAGCAAAATGGCATCTTCATCCCCCACCAAAGACGCCTTTCAATTTCCTACACTGGCCCCTCCAAATCATTCTGCCCTCAATCCGCCAGCATCTCCCCGCCGAGCTTTAAGAAGATTACAGTCCGCGCACACTCTAGGTTCATCATTCAATCAACCATCCCTGATCTCACAACAACATAAGCAAGCTTTGCAAAAGATTATTCCGCCCGTGCCAAAAGATGCCACACAATCCTCAACGACAACTCATTCCAGAGCAAGATCCAATAGTGATGTAACGAACATAGTCCCAGTCCCAACTTCTTCCATGAGGCGCCCTACATCAAACAGAAAACTTACTGCGACAGAAAGTATGTCGTTGGATCTTCTACTTAGAGAGGGCCCCCCCGATGGAGATATAATTGGAAGTTTGGAGAGTATGAGATTGAAGATATTGGATCAAGGGGTCAAGAGTGATAGCGATGGAATGGTTTGTCAATCCCTCCCCCTCCACTCCACCACTTCTGCTAACAAATACTTATTTGTCAATAGTCCTCTTTGCGCATTTACATCTGGCTTATATTACTCAATGCACCTACCCTTGAAACCGACGCATATCTCTCTCTGATCCATCGCGGTGCATCTCCCGCATATTCCAAAATTCGAAATGATACCTTTCGAACTCTAGCCACCGATCCTCTTTTTCGACGTCGAGTTAGTGAAGCAAGCTTAATCCGACTTTTAAATGCAGTAGCATGGAGATTGCACGATGCGAAAGAGGCGCGAGCAGAATACAGAAATATACAGAATAGACAGATTATGGACGCGGCTATTCAAGGTTCTCCGGAACGAGGTTCATCATCACCCAGTATGAGATCTAGAGCTCGTGCTCTGACTTTAACAACGGAAGGTTCTGATGTCGGGGCTGGAGAACCGGGTACATATGTTCAAGGCATGAATGTACTCGCTGCACCCTTTCTCTATGCTGCCCGTAGCGAATCTGAAGCATTCGCTGCTTTTCATCGCTTCATAACAACCGAAGTTCCTGGTTATGTGAGAGGTGCTATGGATGGTGTCCATAAAGGACTCGCATTAGTGGATAAAGTTCTAGCTATTGTTGATCCAAAATTGAGTCTTTATCTGATTGGAAAGGGTATGAGTGCAGAAATTTATGCTTTCCCTTCAGTACTCACTCTATGCGCATGTACTCCCCCATTACCCGAGGTACTTCGTCTTTGGGATTTCTTATTTGCCTACGGTGCTCATCTCAATATTCTTTGTATTGTGGCACAACTCGTTATTCTCAGGCATTCAATAATGAGTTCTCCTAGGTAAGTTCTGGGGGTTGCTTCTATTATATATGAATTCAACTAACGAAAATCAAAGTCCTACGAAGATTCTCAGATCTTTCCCTCCTTTACAAGCGGACACCATTAAAGAAGTTACACTTACTATCATCAAGAAAATTCCGGATGATGTTTATGCGGAAATCGTTGCGCATGCTAAATAGTCTATTGACATGCATGGCGGGTGGGCGTTGTACATTGCGTTGGATGACAAAAGTGAAAGTTTGAGATGGGCTGAATGTTTGCTATATGTTCGAATGATATCATGATAAGGTTATGTTTTGAGAAAAAAATGATCAATTGGTTGGATTGGATTGCATGAGGCTGGTTTCGGGTTGGTCGGTCTGGGGAGGTTCTGGGTTGGATGAATGGGTATGAATATGAATATGAATATGAATATGAATTAATGATATTGGAGGGGAAGTAATTTTTTCCAAGTATAATAAGCTTGAGTGTAATATATTTATTTGTATACCGGTCTACGTCTATTTGAAACTTTAGTGGCCGGGTGATCTTCTTCGCTTTTCTGAAGTTTGAATTACTGTTTCTGGTGGCTATGCGAATGTTTAATCTAGCTTCTTCAAAACTCATCCTCCTTTTCTCTCCCTCTGGGTTTCTCTTCGAATACTAGGTAGGTATGCACTAACACTGCAAGATATTCTTCGCGTCTTCAAAATGTTGCGTTAAGGCTTTTTGTTTATTTGATGAATAATGAGTGGGTGGGTGAGAGTGTGCTTGTGTATGTGCTTGGCTTGTATATGTATATGTATATGTATATGTATGTGTGTGCTTGGCTTGTATATGTGTGTATATGTATGAAAACGCATGATGAGATGAAGAGAGAGATGGATAGGTATACGTATTAGAATTAGAGAGACAGATGCTATACGTTCATAGAGAATAAATGGGAAGGGGGGGGAGGAGGGGGGAGTTAGTAAGGTTAGATGAGGAGGAGAGTATTATAGTATAGTATAGTAGAGTATATCCCTAACATACATATTTTAAAATACGATTTATAATTGGAAGCTGATTGATTGAGAAAAAATACTGATGTTCTGTATAGCGAACATTAAAAGTTAGGAAATAGATTGGAATAGATTAGAAAGGTATTATTAATAGGTATAGTAATTATAAATGATATATGAAATGTAATTGATTGATATCTTTATATTTTTTGAATTGAGAGTTTTCTAATGATATAATTTTTATATTAATAAGTTATAGTTGATGAAAGAAATAATTGATTAAAGAATAGATTGAAGATTTGAAGAGATTGAAGATTTTAAAGAATGGAATAAATGTTTTTGATTGGTTTGGAGGTTTGGGATTTGTGATAAGAGAGATAAGGATTAAGAAAGAGGGAGGGGGATTAGAAAGGGGAGGGAGATTAGAAAGAGGAGGGGGATTAGAAAGAGGAGGGGAATTAGAAAGAGGAGGGGAATTAGAAAGAGGAGGGAGAGAGGGAGGGGGATTAGAAAGGGGAGGGGGATTAGAAAGGGGAGGGGATTAGAAAGAGGAGGGGATTAGAAAGGGGAGGAGGGGGATTAGAAAGAGGAGGGGAGGGGAAAGGGGAGGGGGAGGGGAGGGGATTAGATTTAAAAAAAGAATTAGATTTATAAAAAAGAATTAGATTTATAAAATAGAGATTAGATTTATAAGAAGGGAATTAGTTTATTAGATTTAGGCTTAAAGGCGCCTTCGGCGCCCTTATACGAGCTAGAAGCGAGAGGCTAGCGAAATCTATTTATTATTATTATTATTATTATTATTATTATTATTATTATTATTATTATTATTATTATTATTATTATTATTATTATTATTCTTATTATTATTATATTATTATTATTATTATTATTTATTATTATATTATTATTATATATTATTGTTATATTGTATTATTATTATTATTATTATTATTATTATTATTATTATTATTATTATTATTATTATTATTATTATTATTATTATTATTATTATTATTATTATTATTATTATTATTATTATTATTATTATTATTATTATTATTATTCGAACTTCGGGGTTAAATATACCCCACTTAAGCCTGTGCACAGACCACCACTCCAAAAAGCTTATAATCTCTGAATAGCTTTAAAAGTTTTAAAAGCTTCAAAATTTATATTTTAATTAGGATTTTAAAAGCTGCGTAGTACGAGTGTAGGCGTAGGTTTTGAGTAGTGTTAAAATAACTACGGAGAGTGCTAGCGAGGCTGTAGTTATTTTTAGCCACGAAGGGCCGAGAAAAAGCTCGTATAGTATAATAAAAGAAATACTAAAGAATTATAGTACTGGTTGGTTGAGGAAATCTCGTGTGTATGGATGTGGATGTTGATGTGGATGTTGATGTTGATATTGATATACTGGTATTAGCTATATAAAGTATCTTGATAGGTTGGGATACTTGTAGAAAGTTGAGTATGGTGGTTGGGGAGCTGGGGAGGATTGTGGATATTGTATATTGTATATTGTAGGTAGTTTGATTTTGATTTTGATTTTGATTTTGATTTTGATTTGGATGGGATTTGGATGGGATTTGGATGGGATTTGGATGGGATTTGGATGGGATTTGGATGGGATTTGGATGGGATTTGGATGGGATTTGGATGGGATTTGGATGGGATTTGGATGGGATTTGGATGGGATTTGGATGGGATTTGGATGGGATTTGGATGGGATTTGGATGGGATTTGATTTGATTTTGATTTTGGATTTGGATGGGATGGGATGGGATGGAAGTGAGTGTAGTGTAGTGTAGTGTGTAAGAGAGATAGCGAGTGAGCATTAGGGGGGGGGGTATGTGTAGATAGAGGGGAGTGGGAGTAAGTATGGGAATAGAAGTAGAAGTAGAAGTAGCACTGCCTCGAAGTAAAGTAGCCGTAAAGTCGCAATCGCCTACCCGTAGCCCTGCACATAGCCCTAAAGTCGACATAAAATACCCTCCCGTAAAAATCCCACTCAAAGTAAAAATAAAATCCCGTAGCCTGAACCCACCTAGAAAAAAAGTAGCAGTCGCCATGGCCCTCGCGCCGTTCTCCTCACTCGCGGATTCATCCTTCCTAGTTTTATATCCTCTGCTCTTCCCTTCTTCGTATTCCAGCTCTCCCTCTCTCGCCTACCCACCCAGCACCTCTTCCTATTCAGTTTTCCACCGTCTATCTATCATTCATTAGTTTCTTCTCATCTCTTTCCTCTCCCCTCCTCCTTATATACAACTAAATTCTCCAGGGCTAACTGAATACAACGAAATGAGATTGACTACTCGGGAGTTGATTGTTATATTAGGTATCTATACATTCATACCTACCTAGGTGGGTATTGGAGATATAATATAATATTATATTTATTAAGAGTAATTCGTATAGACAGATAGATAGATAGATAAATGATAAGTATATATTAAGATGAAATATTATATATCTCAGCATATCTGTAAAAGATTTATATGATATAATATCACATCATATCATAGATAGAAAACAAATCCCAATATGAAAATCTACTGAGAACTTTATTAAACGTATATATATTATATATAACATATATATATACGAGGTACCTAGGTAGGTACTTAGTAGTTATACTTCGGAGCAAAAACTAAAGACTTCTTTTATTACATAAGATGAGAATCTCAGTTCATGTGATTAGGTATTCAATACAGAGCTCATAGTAGAGCATATTCAAAGATGGTTTGAGGATATTGAGGAGTTATTGTTTGATATATGTATATGATACTCAACAACCCATACATATTTGACTTTGAGAATCCCAAAATGGAAGACTGAGGGAGGGATATTTGTATGGATATTGGATATGGGATATGGGAGTATGTATTGGATTGTATGAATTGGATTGTAATGCAGAAATATCTATCAATCCGCATCGCACACTCATGCATTTTTAAATGCTACATGGAACTGATATATATGAGTTAGCCATCTCTTCTCTCGACTCTGCAATACTTTTCTTATATCCTATCCCTCTTCTCACAATCTCTCTCATAATCCCATCCCGTCCCATCTCATCACATCCCATCCCATCTTATCATCTCCAGAAGATCAGAAGCAAAAAAAAAAGAAAAACGCAAACTCACCATGTCCACCCCACTCGTCCCCTTTCCCAAATATCCTATAGTGTCCGCAAATTCCTTTGTCTCTCTAAATGCCTATATTTCAAATCTCACATTAGCCCCAAAATTCTTCCATCTCCCCATCTATAGACTCCCACCACTATATCAAAACCGGCCTCAAATTTGCAAGATTCGAAAAAGAAACTACAAAGTAATAAATGAATACCCACCATATGAGCCTCCTTATTCTCCCACCCTATCATTATAATCAAAGCTTTCCCCTTTTCTTCCTCCATCGTCTCTTTATTCTTAGCGATCTTCTCAATTACCTCTCCGGAATCTATCACGCCAAGAAACCCCGCGATTTTCTTTTCCGAGTGAAGTTTGCGGATTGCCGTTTTGAAGTTTTCTACTCCCTGTTTACTCCTCTTAGTCTTCTACTTGATCTGATTCTCATCCTCTTATTCTCACTCTTCTTTCAATTCATCGAAATTTAGGTTTGGATTTGGATGGAAACAACAAATGATAAATAATGATAAAACACCACCCACCTCAAGAAAAACATCCTCCACATCAAAAAAACGTAGCAACTTCCATTACTCCCCCCTTCTGCCCCGCATTTCCTTTTGCAATAGCGCCCGCAACATCCAATTTGCTTGCGTGTATGATTTCCACACTGCCCATAATCGGCTGCAGGTTTTCTAGAAAGGCTGGGTAGGCTGGCGAATCCATAAAAGCTTTGTGGAGAGCGAGGGATGTCCAGTCTTTGGATTGGGGGTTAGTATAGATATAGATAGAATTGAACTTGTGTAGGAAGATAGTGGAAGACATGAATGGAGGGGATAGATATGAAGAGAAAAAAGAGCAAACGATAAGTGACAGGAGAGTTCTCAACGTAGTCAAAATCAGTAAAAGAAGCAATAAAAGGGGAAAACAAACCAATACACCAAATCAACACTCCCTCATCCTCCAATGTTCCGCCGTAATAAGAATTTGTACATCCTTTTTGGGCCGCAATTGTATCTAGAGTTTCACGCCCTATATAGGTTATATCGATTAGTCTGATTCTTTGAATTCTCTCCGTCCATCCTTCCATTCAGCCATTCATCCATCTATCCGTTCCATAAAGCCGAAATCGAACCGTGACAAGTTTGAATCCAAGCAAGCCATTCAATTACTCCCCACCCTATCCTTATCCCCATTCCCCTCATTCCAAACCGGATCTAACACACTCGTGATCACTTACCTCCCATCCGGTCAATCTCACTTCTAAGTTCTCACCTCTGGACTCTAATACCAAATATCCAAACCGTACTGCCCACTTGAAGCAATACCCTTCTTAGATCCATCCCCATACACAACCAGCTTACATGTATCTCATCCCCAATACCCCTCCTCCAGAAAAACAAAACACACTTACAAATCCTCGCCGCCTCTCCCGCGTCTCCCTCCCCGTCCCCCTCCAAATCCCCTCCCCCTATCTCCCCTCTCAACCCAATCCTCACCATTTCCGTGACCGGTCCATCATACCCAGACTCACTAACCACCGACCGCATAGCCATTTCGACACTATTTTCTTATTCCCTAACTCACGTAGCTATGATCGAATCTGTATCGATATCCCCAATACGTTTATCCACCAACCCTCTCGTACTTGCACGTATAGATCTTTCAAGATGTCCAAACCGTCCGGGTTATAACGTTATCCAAGTGCAAACAAAGTATCAAAACCGAAGCCGAAGCCGAAGACGAAATGGAAATCGGAAACAAGAATAGAATTCTGTGCTCAATACATCTATCTATACCAAGAGTTATATGATAGATAATAAATAATAAAAATCTATAGTGACAAGCCAGCAGCTAACATATCTGAAGTCTTACCTTACCGACCTACCTAGGTACTTAGTTACCCCACCCAACACGAACACGGCACTTATGATGTCAGCAGCTCAGATCACATCAACTCGTAAGTACACTCTGATTTCCGAACTCACTCACTCAAACTCACTCACTCACTAGATATCTCCTAGAAATCATCAAATCAATAGATATTAGTGATCCAACCCATATGGCAAAAGATCATATACACAAGATCACTAAACACAACACAACACAACACAACACAGCAAACAATTATATAATTCAAGTATCACCAAATCACAAATCCATCCCATCTATACATCATCATTCCATCTCACCTGACCTCACCTCAGCTCACCTCAATTTCAAATGCTTCTCTAATCCCACAAACACAATCAAGAGAACCTCATATCATGATAATATAGCAATTTTTCACAATTCATATCACCCTAGCCTATCATCCATCATGATTTTCCTTGCATACCAATTTCCCTATTAGCATCTTTCCCATCATTCTCGTTTCCATGCACTTGATTCCATCGCGGGTCAGATTTCCATCAATCAATCAGGATCTCATTGTCCCATCATTAACTTTTTTTATCAATTGCTTAGAGAGATCTTTTCACTCCCAAGGGAAATATACGCCATGAAAAAGCAAGCAAGCCACCATTCCGCCAACCAGGCCATTAACATCCATAAAAAGATTCATTTCTGATTGTTAATAGCACATATTGCCAAAGGAATTCCTTTTCCTTGCCCATATCTAACCCTTTTCATATATCAGCTTAAATTTAGCTTGAAGCTCTGTGACGTTCACTCTCTAGCCTTGAGTAGAGCATGTATCTATTCATATATTAGTAACATAAAAAATATAGTTAAAAGAAGAGGAAACTTACAAGGCCATTTGATTACACTCTGCCGTTCCTGTAATTGTAACCAGTCTCTCATTTGAATTATCTTGCGGCTCATTGATCTTAATGACACTACCACTGAGTTGTCTGATTTCATTAATCTTGGCACCGCCTTTGCCAATTATAGCTCCAACCATATCATTTGGAATAAAGATTTGTTGTGTTAAGGGTTGACCAGGGATAGCACCTGGCATAGGTTGACCTTGTGGGCCAGTAGCACCATGTGGTTGAGGAACAGCGTGGCCAGCTTGTTGTGGTTGTTGTGGGCCCACTCCACCATAACCGCCAACGGCTGGTGAAGCGTGTCCACCGTAATGTGCAGCAGCAGCTGGCTGTTGGTGAGGTGCCTGTCCTTGACCGTATGGTTGGGCATAGCTGTTTCCAGGAGTATGGTGAGATCCACGGTCAGAACGACGATGGTTGTCAGGGTGACCATAGTTTCCACCAGCTGGTTGTGGAACATATGGAACAACCTGCATACCACCTGGGACCACACCTGCAGGTCCACCACTTCTTGATGCATAAGCAGATGCAGCGGGACCACCGAATCTCTCTGTCAATTGTTCAAACAATGTGCTTCCAACATAATAGGTTGCAATATGAACGGCATCTGCAACACCAAGAACAACAAGTGATCTCTCAGTTGAGAGTGGAAGGTACGAATCGGAAGCATTCAAACGAGCCCCAGAAGCTTCTTGGATCTCTTTGATCCGAACACCACCTTTACCAATTATAGAACCAATCAAGATATGTGGAATAAGAAGGCGAAGAGGGTATGTCTTCGAGGTAGAGTCCGAAGGAGCTTCGAGAGGTTCGTTGTTCAATGTTCGAATTATCAAACCAAATGCCTACAAAAATTAGTTATGTTTCTTCAAATATCGAAACGAGCAAACATGCCTTGGCTACTGCATCAACAACACCACTGACAGTCAAGATTCTTTCCACTGCACCCTTTTGATAATCGCTGACTGTGCATTTTGCACCAGAAAGCTTTCGGACCAAGGAGACATTTTCTCCTCCCTTGCCAATGACGGTAGCAGCTTCGGCACTTGTAATTACGGATCGAACATGTATCCATCCACTTTCGTCGTGTGGGAGAGCATTTCCAGAGGAAGTGCCTTCGGTTTTAGTAGGAACCGTTGTTTGAATTGGTTGTGTTGCTTCAGTAGTAGGAGCATCAACGACCTCGGTATCTCCTTGAGCATCCTTCACTTCTTCTTTTACTCCATTGGCTTCATCAGGTTTCGCATCTCCATTTGGATTGGTGAGGACTGGGAGCTCGGTTTCGATAACCGATGGTTTCTTTTCTGAATCATCTTCACCCTTTACAATCTTATCTAAAGCAGGACGCTTGGCATCTGGTTGATCGCTTGGTGCAGAAGGGGATGATGGATCCTCAAGAGGACGTTTTGTAGATTGAGTGGGAGCTGTTGTAGGTGAGGCCGACATTTTCGATTGCTATTTGGTTAATCTCTTCTTTTGTATTTGCTTCACTTTAAGTTGAATAGTGATCGGAACGGGATTGGAAGATAAGTCAAATGACTATTTGGATTGATCGCTTTTTATGTACACCAGAAGAGTCTTCGAAGGAAAACGTGCTGGTGTTGGGGTCGGAGGAAGCAGGGAATGGAGCGTGTGCTTTGACGGGGACTGCGAATAAGAGAAGATATGTCGATAGGGGAGGAAGCAGATGTGGTGTAAAACAACAACTTGTAATAGACCTGCAAACTCTGGAAAGGGATTTTCTTGGAAGTTGGAAGGAGGGCGAATAATTTCTGTGATTGTGATGGATGTGAGGGTTTTGGAGGTGAAGATAACTGATTTTGAAGAATCCTCTTATTTTTGGGGAAGAAAAAAGCAGTATTAGGGACCTATCCTCAAACCTTAAGCTTTTCCACCAACGATTCCAAGTTATCGTTGTCTTGATGCTTTTCTTTAAAAGTACTGGTTTGCGTTCCCAGTTTTCAATTCCGATGATTGTTTAGCTTGCTGCGTGTTGGATCGAAAGTTGCAGGAGATGGAAATGGAGATGGAGATGGAGAAGCGACAAAGGGTAGATGGAGGTGAAATTCAGAGAGGTTGAAAATCGCGTAGATCTTTATTTCCCGAGGATCGTGGTTTACGTAGATAGATTGAGCGACTTAATTGAAGAAGTCGTTCCGATAATGAAGATGATGAAGAGGATGATATTTCAATGAAGAAGAGAGAAGGGGAATGAGAAGATGATGATTTAAAGAGATGTGCTAGATAGAATACCTAGGTAGGTAGATATTTCAAAAGAAAGTAGCAAACAAGAAAGAACCTTACGCGGTACTGGGGCGGTAGATCTGAGATGCGAGGGAAGCTCCACTAGCGTCAAAAAAGTTATGCTGTCGGTTTGGTCTGAGGCCTTTTGCTCTTTTGCTGCGGAGGTTTGGATTAATGCTTGCATAAAAGATGTGTATTTGTGCCTGAGATTCAAGGTTACCAGGCTTACATCAACTTTACATCAACTTCATACTTCACCTGGGCACGCATAGCAAATTTCAGAGTGACGCGGGAATGATGATAACTTCACCTCATTCATTGAATTGCAAGAAACAATACCATTTGATATTAATAAGCTGGTTTACGAGTCATATTGATCATTTATCAACCAAACAACCCTTCCCTTCCCGCATCTTTGACATAATATCATTCAATAACCCTTTTCGGCCCGCTCCTTTTCTTCAAAATAGAAACTGGTCTGCTTGTCACGACTTAATATATCCGTGCACATATAAAATCAAAGCATTGCACGTGTTTTTGGCTGTCAAATCGAAACACGCTACATTTCAACCTCTGCTCCTTGTCTCAAGTGGCTGTCGATCGAGAATGGAATGAGACAATTGAGAGGATCAATCAAGACATTTTCAATAACTTGTTAAAAATCAAACTTGTAACCCCTTACCCACTCCATCGACCATGGATATCGATCAAGACTCTCGAATCTCCGCCGCATATACAACGCGTCTCGACCAAACCCTCCAAGATCTTCAAGATCGAGTCAAGGAGCAAGAAGCTGCACTTGCAAAGGTGAATTTCCACTCCATACCATATCGATTTCTAAAAAATCTCAAGCTAACAATCCACCCTAGCTCCGAGCAAAAACCTCAATCCCCATATCTTCCGGACCATCACCAGACCCCCAAATTCACCTCCACCAACTCCGCGCTCTGAAACACGCATACGATACCCTCTCCGCCACACCCCCCTACCTCCCACCTCCCAAATCCGTCCTCCCCGCCCTCCTCGCCCACCGCACCACCACATCCTGCATCCAAGAAACCCAAGAATGCATCACCACCAGCTCACATGACCTCTCCACCATCACCACGCTCCTCCAAAAAGAAAAATCCGACCACCAAGATGCCCTCTCCATCCAATCCGCGCTCCAATCGCGCATTTCCGCCCTCACAACCCAACTCACGCAACAAACCCAAAAATCTCCCTCCCAGATCTTTTCCGAGCTGCAATCCTCCTTCCAAACAGGCAAAACACACTACGACACCGAAACGGGCAATCTCATCCGCGCATTCAATTCCTTCATCGATACACATCTCGCATCCATGCTCGCCGCCGAAGAACTCGGCGGCCCCATCGTAGGCGAAATGCTCTCCATCACTCCACAAACCCTCATCGCCGGTTTCAGCACGCAGGGAAAACCCAAAAAGCCCAAGGAAAACCCAAACATGGACAAGCGCCAGCGTCGCATCGACGAAATCTGGGGTCCCAAACCATCCCTCGACCCAGACGACGACGAGGACGAAGCAGAAGAAGAAGAAGAAGAAGAATGGGACGAAACACGTGCCGCCGCCGCAGAAATGCGCGAATTGGCCGAACAGCTGTTGAACGGATTATTGGAAGCCGATGAGAGTGGCTCGGGTGGATACGTCACGCTCGAGAGAGATAGTGCGGCGGCGAGATTCCTGGTCAGGAGTAAAGTGGCGCAGTATCATTTCAAGGATGCGCGGAAATTGAAGCTGGTTGATTTTGAAAAGGATATTGTGTGAATGGTTGCTTGTCTTGTAGTATATATACCCTTCCTTATTTAGATTACTAGATTACTACTTACCTAGTTTCGCAAGCTTCATACCTACCTATTCACCTAGATGCCTACTCTTGATCATAATGACTATTCTATCTATTCTATTCTATTCCCTCCCTCTCCCCTCTCCCCTCTCACAACCAACAACCAACAACCAACAACCAAAAACCAACAAACTAGACACCCCCTCATCCCCCATAATCCCCCACACACTAACTTATAATACCAGTACTCACTCCCCTTGCAAAAGAACTTATAAACCCAAAACCCAAACCCACAACTCACAATTCACAACCACAATCCCCCATACACTCATTCCGGTACTCCCTACACCTCCCCAAACCTCACAAGCGATCTTAAAGTAGTCATCTCCATCTCCATCTCCATTTCCATTTCCATTTTTTTTACAAAAATAAAAGAAAGAAAAAGAAATCAGTAAAAAAAGAAATCAGTAAAAAAAAATCAGTAAAAAAAAATCAGTAAAAAAAAATCAGTGAAAAGAAAATCAGTAAAGAGAAAGAAGAAAAAATAAGAATCATTTGATATCTCTATTCTATTTCTCCCTGTTCATTCTCCTTTTCCACTTCGCTACACTACACTTCATCACACTTCTCTACTTCACAGCCCCCACGCTAACGTTAAGTACATACATACATACATACATATACATACATACATACATACATATTGTATATAAATAATATACAATACACAGTACACAATACACAGTACACATACAAGATCCATACAAGATCCATACATCTGTACTAAACTACACTACAATACACAAACGACACAACACAACACAACACATCCAACCCCCATCTCCCCCATCCCAACCACTCTATCCAGCAATCCCTCCCAGCCCCCTCCAGACCCCTCCTATTTTCAAATTTTCCTCCTTTCAAACCATCCATCCATCCATCCATCCATTGAAAGGAATCCAAAACCTAACCTAAACGCCCAGCCCGCCCATATGATGAATCAGACTACTAAAAATGGTATGTGAACGAACGCCTTACATGAAAAGAAACACGAACAAGTAAAGCAGAATCATTAATGTACCAACAATCCCCTTTTCCCTAGGTATTTTCACTTTTCTTCGCCGTGAAGAAGCAGAAATAAAAAAACAGACACAAGAAATGCTTAAAAGAAGATGACGAAGAAGAAGAAGAAGAAGAAGAAGAAGAGAAAAAAGAACTCAAAGAAAACCCCTCAAATATTTATCCTGCCTCCATGGAAGCCTTTCCCTAAATATCAACAGTATCCACACTAAGCTCCACTAGCACTTCATATCTTTCCACGAATCTCACTTAGTCCTTCCGAAAAGATGTCTCTTATGACCTTCCTTTCCACCCTTTTTTCCATTCGGCGAACCACTGACATCGTCTTTTCCATCATCATTGTATTTAGATTTGTAGATCCTGCTTTGCGTTAGATATATTCAATATTTGATCCACTTTGACTCCAATATCTTTGCGCGCTTGCACCCGCAGATATCGCATCCTAGATGTGAAAGAGAAGAAAACATACCAACTATTCCCAATCATACTAATCCCCTTGCTTTCCGCTGCCCGATAAAACTTGGCACTCTTCTTAAGGTCCTTTTTACACCCAACTCCCTGCGCGTAACAAAATCCCGCTTCAGCCAAAGCATCGCCATCACCCCAAGCTATTCAAAATATTAGTACCTTGTCTCAATTTTCATTTGCACCAACTCAAAAATAGGATAAAACTCACATCCAGCAATCTCAAAGCATCTCAATGCAAGGACTTTGTCCTGTTCAATACCCCAACCATTCATATGACTGACTCCCAATTCATAAATACTAAGCGCAAATTGGGCCTTTCTAGTTTTCCTTTCCAAAACATCGACAGCTTTTCCATCCTTTGCCGTATCCTCATCATCGGCAACCTCAAGGCTAGCCGAATCCGCAGCTTTTCTCAGCCAAGCTACACCTTCTCTCTGATTAGGTCGCATACCCCAACCATGTCTACAAGCGAGTGCATAGAGAAGCATACCCGTAGGATGATTTTGCCTGGCTGCAAGACGTAAATGATAGGTAGATTTGGTTAGAGAACCAGCTTCATGATACTCGATAGCTTTCGCAACATGTTCTTCTCCAGACATTTCAGCCGATGGAGCTAGTGAATGTTGCGATCGAGCTTTTATTGTAGTATTTGAAGAGGCAATCGATGGTGCGCGGTTGTCCTTTTGCGTTCCATCTTTATGTAAGGTGGGGGGTGCGTCGAAAGGTGATGGAAGATGACTAGGGTCTGTTAAGCTTCGTCCTCTTTCGGCCAATGTTGTGGGTTCCGAGCCCTGCTCTAGGGAAGGACGTAAATGTGAGATATCTGGTCTGGAAGAAGTCGATGGTCGAGATGGAGGTGATGGCGGAGGTCCTCCTTCAATCGTTGGATTACTGCCCAGGAAGGCAGGGGGTTGTTGCTCAAAGACAAATTGAGCTTGCGGTTGACCTTCTTGAAAAATTGCCGAATTTCTTTGTAACATCTTGCCTCTAGGTAGATTAAACGTCGAGTATACATAGGATGGTGCAGCTCCCTCCATAATAAGGTTGTGATCCGGGAATCCCTCACTATGCATACTCACAGGGGTATGAGCAGTATCATCCGTGAGAATAAATGAAGGCTGGCTGTCAGAAGATGCCTGTCGGGAAGGTATTGTTGGTTTGTCTTCCATTGGGTGATTACTAGATCTACTAATTGGCCGAGAGAAGTTGAATGCAGGTCTGGGTAGATGTGTGTGGTCTACAGAATAGTCGGAGCTCACAGATGGAGATCGTGGTACTGAGGAGTTGAAAGAAGGAGAGTTTGGTGTGCTTGACATGGCACTTGTTGAAGAAAGTTTGCGTTGAGGAGAATCGTGTGATAGTGAGTGGTCATCATCTGAGCTCTCCATTGACATAGATCTGGAGCTAGGAGCTCTTTGCGCGAATGGTGCTCGTGGTGGTGCCAAAGCTCTTGGGCCATAACCACCTACAGCTAAAGAGCCATCGGGTCCTCTAAGTGCTCGCTGGCGCATCGATTCCTGGCTAGGTCGAGATGGGGCATCGGAAGGAGATCGGCCAGGTCTGGGTGAACGTGGCCCTCTATATGGACCGTCTGAAGGAGATCGACCTGGCCTACCCATACGTTGTTGAGGAGCGGATGGCGAACGTTCGGGCCTAAGTGCTCGATCATTGTGAGGGCCAGATGGCGAACGACCCGGTCTAGGTGATCTGCCAGGTCCATTATGAGGAGCAGAAGGAGAACGCTCTGGTCTAAGATTGTTACGCCCCTGATGTGGAGCTGAAGGCGAACGAGATGGCTGTGGAGACAAACGTCCCCGATACGGGGCATCAGATGGTGACCTTCCAGGTCTGTGTTGAAGTTGACGAGGATCTTGATCTATGGGCGCTGGCGAAAGATCCCTTCTAGCTCCAAACATGCTCTGTGGTTCCCTCGGAGTCGGACTTGGGGGTGGTCTTCTGCCTCGAAATCCATCTTCCTTCTCGGGAATTACATCGAATGCTGGAGTATCTGGAATCTTTCCCACCTCAGGATGCACCGAAATTGGTCTGAATATAGGTGCCTCGACCTCTGTCAACTGTTGTCCCGGGCCAGCAGAAGCAGGAGATTCTGTAGGAGACAATTGGGCCAGAGGGGAATCTGCCAGTCTTTCGGCAGAGGCAGATCGTAAACTTCCGAGGCGAGATTGGCCGAGAGAGTTCGCGATTGTAAGTGGTGGCAGACGACTTATGCGCTTTCCTCCATTTGTACTTTCATTCAACTGTCTGGCCAAGAGTCGACTTTGCGCCGCGAACGCATCCAAAGGGGAAAGTTCGGGTGGAATATCTCCAGCTACGTGTAAACGGGGGGAAGGTAATGAGCGCAGTGATGGGGATGGTAAACCATTACTGCTACCACCCATTGCCCCATACGATTGTGACCGGAGGTCAATGAAATTGGGTCTGTTAGCCATATCGCCGGTTGGTGGATGACTTCCTCTGTCCAAATTGTTCTATCCTTCCCATGAGTTTGTAGATAATTTCCAGAAATCTTGTGTTATATTTTGTAATCAATGTGCGATCCTTTGTTGGTCTTGTATTGTTGATTCACAGTAGAGAAGACGTTGTGGCCGCCGTAGATATGATCAAGGGAACATCAAACGTTTGAGAGATGTTAGTGAATGAGGAGGAGGCGCAGTCAAAGTTCTCGTAAAATGTTGGGTCTGGAGCTGGTAGATGTGGATTCGAATATATGCGATAAAGTAAGGAGATGGTGACGGGCCGTGTATGATAAGTTTTGGAAGTTCAAAAGGTTCCAAAGTTTGAGAGTCGAAAGTCGAAAGTTGAAAGTTGAAAGTCGAAAGAGCGAAGTCGTTAAGAAAAAGCTTGGAAATGACAAATGGTATTGTATTGAATATGTAGGTATTGAATTGAATTGAATTGAATTGAATTGAATTGAATTGAATTGAATCGAATCGTACCAGTAAAATGAAGGAGTGAATTAGCGTTTATGATTTGGATGTAACGCAAGTTAAAATGAATGTATTTCGAATGAGCAAATTTGAGATCTGAGATCTGAGATTGGAGATTGGAGATTGGAGGTTGGAGGTTGGATTGCTTGAATGATTGAATGAATGAAATGGGATCTTGTTGGCTTTTTTTTTCTTCTTAATAAACTTTGGGCGATAGTATTCAACAACGAGAGAAGATGTTGCAGAATGATTAGAATAGATACGATAATAATGTATGTAATAATTCTTTCTCGCTGCAGTTTCGAAGCGGCATCATCTGTAGAATTCTCTTGCCGTTGGTAATTTCCTCTTTTTCTTTTTTTCCTTTGGGGTTTCCCTATTATCCCCCCTCAATCTGTTGTGATCCCCGATATGCACGAAAGAATTGACCAAATGGCTTGCTGGCCTTTAAGGGATATTGTATTGTGGAGTTGCCCCTTGATGAAGAAGACTTTGATGATATTTGGAAGATGTAAATAACAACATAAAAATCAAAGTTAACACCAGCACGAGTAGAGCATCGAGTAAAAGAAACGAGAAAATAGAAAAAGGTCCAATGATCACACGAATCTTTCTCGTATAACGATGATTAGTCGCCGTGAGGGAAGGATATGTTCTGACTATGGCTCGAAGAGTAGATGGAATGAAAAGAAGTCGAAGAAGGTATTGGCCAGGTCATTCATAGCAACGCTTGGCAGATCATAAAAGAACAAAATATATGAATGTATGTATGGATAGATGGATGGATGGATGTGATGATAAAGAGTGAAAGGTAGAAGGGTAGAAGATTCAAGAAGGGTGGAGGGAATACGGATAAAATGCAAGGCAAGGCAAGGCAAGGTCAGGTCAGGTCAAGTAAGATAATTAGATACTAGAAAGCCAAGCCAAGGGAAATTTCCCATATAGCAACAAACGGGAATCTCTCCTTTCCTCTGCTTTCACTGGCGTTGATGCATGGTCATCATAATCAAACAATCACAGTCACAGTCACGACGAGAAGGAAAAATGAAAGCATCACCAGGTAAATGTCACGAGAAGGACAAAAAAAAGAAAGAGATGCCAGGGACCGAAAGTTCACATATCCATAACCCTAATGACCACTCCTCCGTACCATCTCCGTAGGTCTTTATATTAAATCGATCCACTTCATCTACCCGCTGCTACTTTCAAACCTAATGAACTGTGAGCTAGAAGGAGATGATGCTAATAATAAACAAATCATCACGCTCTCCCCCCATCAGACATCTCATTCCGTCGTTCCCATTCGTCACATCTAACCTACTAGGTCCACGATCCAATCATCCACTCAATTCAATATCAAATCACCTTAAAATTTCTAACATGTGGAGTTGAAACTACGACTACCTAGGGAGCTATCTACGGAGTAGTATCTACTGAGTGCCATCTCCGCTACCACATGAAATAATGAGGACTAGGGAGGGAAGAGCTATAGAGATCTGAAGAAACTGAATTAATAATGATGTTAATAAGGGGGCTCGGGGGTCAAGACTGGAGAACCAACACGCTCACGAGGAGACTCACGAGAAGACGAGGAGAATTTCATAAAGTTCCTGACTAATGCTCACTACCTAGGAACAATGGAAGAAAAACGCCATAGCATAGGGGTTAAACCGAGTTGATGTGCAGTTTGCATACGAGTACCTAGTAGCTACATACACACATAATATATCGTATACCGGAGTATTTATCTAGCGAGCGGCGGTTACTTTCTCCATCACGATACACATCTCGTATTCATACCAGAGTTTTCCGATTTCATTACTTTGGTGTAAGGTTACTCATCGCGTCCATTAGACACCCATCTGATTCTTCACTAGAGCTTCAGATACGATACGACACGATACGATATCTATCTAGAGCTTCAAATACGATTAGAGACTTCAAATCGGATATCTATCCATGTAGACACAGGTCTAATTCTTTACTCGAGCTCTAAACGATATTTACTACCTGGGTAATTCTACACTTCTACACTTCATCCCAACTCTTCAAATACGATCGTCGACTTCAAAACAGATATCCATATAAACACACATCTAGTTCTGGTGTTCTTTACTAAAACTTCAAATACGATATCGTATCTATCTACGGTACTTGTCGACTATTCATCCCAAACTAAATTTCAAATACAACACCACACACATCAAAAACAATCCCATCAAAACATTCCCCAGTCCCATTCCTATTAATATATCACACACACTCACACAAATCATTCTCATCAACATGATCAATCCCATCTCATCTCATTCCATCTCACTCCAAATCCCATACCCTCTAATCTAATCCTCCTTCTCGCACTTCCCCAATTGCTACAAGTTTCTATATATACATTTATTAATCTGCATCACAATCGTATCATCCTATTACTACATCCATTAATTTCCTTTTCTACACATACATATATACATACATACATATATACATCCATCAATTTTCTTCTCTATATACATACATATATACATACATAATCTATCAATCTATCATACAACCCATCATCCCATCATTCATCAACCCAACCCAACCATCAACCATCCATTTCCCCAGATTCAGGGCCCATCCATCCATCCAACCACCCAAACCAACCACCCAATCACAATCATCATCTCACACCAATCCCATAATCCCTGTCCCGTGCAAATATCTACCACATCATATCATATACACCATATCATGAATACCAACCAAACCCCTCCCCTCCCCTCTACAAAACTACAAACTACAAATAAAAAGTTAAAAGTTAAAAGCTAAACCGTTCCCATCATCCATCATCCAGTCCTCTTCCACCCACCTACCTACCGACTTCCACCCACCCACCCATCTCCCCTCCCTACCCTAGGTACTTCCTCCAAACCCCAAACTCAAACCCAACCCTCAAACCCCAACCCTCATACCGTCACCTCACCTCACCTCACCTCACCTCACTCACCCACTCACCTCACGCACCTCACCTCACTCCAAAACCCGAGCCATATGAAAAACGCCAGCCAACTGGACTACCGAGATACCGACCGACCAAGAAATACTCTAGACCGATACGCTACGCGAGACGCGAGACGTCTAGTACCTAGACTCTAGACCGAGACGCGAGACGCTAGACGTCGAGACGCTATACTCGATACTTATGAACTCTAGATCGCTAGACTCTAGACGCGATACTCTAGACTGCTAACCGAACGCATACGCGATACTCGATACGCTATACTCGTATACTCTATACTTTAATACACTCAACTCAACTCAACTCAACCCAACTAACGCCTATATTAACCCCTCCCCGCTTTCCCCTCCTTTCCCCTCCTTTCCTCTCTTCCTTTCCTCCTCTTCCCCTCCTCTCTCCGCCTTCTCCACACACACCAAAAAAAGGGGGGGAGAAACAGAAACAGAAATAGAAATAGAAATAGAAATAAAATAGAAATAGAAATAGAAATAGAAATAGAAATAGAAATAGAAATAGAAATAGAAATAGAAATAGAAATAGAAATAGAAATAGAAATAGAAATAGAAATAGAAATAGAAATAGAAATATCATTATCATTATCATTATCATTATCATTATAAATCAAAAAATTTGAGAACTGAACACACATATACACACATACACACACACATACATACACCCATTACAGAAATAGTAAAATACGCACCAATCAGAAACCACTTCATCCCATCCCATCCCACCTCACCTCATCTCATCTCATCCCCCCATCCCATCCTGAAACCCATCAACATCATTACACCAAACCCTTACCCTTCCTTACCCTTACCCTTCCATTTCCGATATCTGATATCTGATATCTGATATCCGATACATCCACACATCCATATCTACACACATCCACATCCATACACATCCATCCATACACATCCATCCATACACATCCATCCATACACATCCATCCATACACATCCATCCATACACATCCACATCCATACACATCCATCCATACACAAACTCCACCCCAAGAACCGGGTATCTTCCCCGTCCCATCCCGTGCCTCCCGTACGTTTCAAACTTCAAGCCAGGCATAAATAAATCTTCACATATATCCATCCACAATACCCCCTCAAAAATCTCACAAATATTGATAGAAGAATATGTATATTCGCTACCTCCAAAAAAAAAGTAAAAAGATGGTCATTTCCTATATTCAATGTACACATTCCCTCTCCCATCCCTCTAAACTCCAATACCCGATGCCCAGCTCCCAAGAACGCAAAAATAGTCACACACCCCCGACTACAGATTCTTTGATTGCATTTTTCGTAATCTAGTTGCGCCTTCATATACACCACGGTCTACTGCTGCCGCCACAGTTAATGTACCTCCGACAATTGCACAGAGACCTGTCAAGAAACCTGCTAATGTTTTGGTTCGCTCTTCCTTATTGATGACCTTCATGGGTGAGATATCCTGAGTATCATTAGTAACTGTGTGGATTTACATATCATGGGAAACTTACATAGGAGAAGAAAACACCCGGGATTCCACCACGTGCATGTAACTTTTCCTTATGGCCTTCAGCGGAATCATCACCACCATTGAGACTTCGGCGATGGCTAGTAACAGAGTACTGATGAGTTTCAATACTTCCGTCTTCGGAATGTCCATAAGTTCCAATATCCACACTTGCGTCATGTGGTCTGCTATTGTAGTTGGTTTCCCAGCCAAGAGGAAGGTATGAAGTTGAAACAACCTTTACAAAGTACATGAAGTTGTAAGCAGCCTCATGGGTAATTTGTTCCGTGTTATCGAGAGGGTTTAAGTGATGATTGGTCCATGGGATAATAGAATCCGAGCCCAACTTCTTGAAAACTTCTTCTGGAAGCTCTGGTCCAAATCTAAGAGAATGAATGTGATGAGAGAATACGTGACCGCCGGGAACTGGTGTATCGAAGAAGTTGTTAAGGTCGTGAACATGCATATTTCCGTTGGTAAAACTGCGTCCAGGGGCAATGTGGAAATTTCCAATGACCTTGTTTACTCGGAGACCACCTTCAATGCGACATCCTTCTTTGCGTTGTGAATCCAAGCGTTCGCCATAGTGTTCACGCTCGCATTGCTCGACATTTTCTCCTCGGCCAAAAGCCCATGAAACTGACGCATATGCTTCTCGTACTTCATCACATGTATTACAGCAGCCTGGCTTTTGCGCATTTGAAGGAGGGGTAGCACCGTAACATGCACCGCAGTAATTCGGATCAAGATGAGTTGCTGCATCTTCGGCATTATGGCTACATGATATCAGTCACGACTCGGGAGTTACGATGGAGAAATACATACAGATCCAAGGCCTTGATATCAATGACTTTACCACCTTCTTCTTGAGGACCCAATCGAACCTTCTTAACTCCATGCATAACACCAACTTGCTGTTCTCCGGAAACATCCATTACGTCCAGCGTGAGAAGTTCGCAAGGAATTTTTGGAAAAGTAATATTCAAATGAATTTCCATCTTTTCACCTGCAAAGAGAAATACTGATTAGTTTCCATTTTGTAGAATCTCACAAATCTCGAGTATAACACACCTCTTCCCTTGTCAACTACAAGCTCAGGATGTACTGTTATCCGCCTGTAATCCGCCCATTCTCCAAATGCCAGATACAAGACGATTAGCAATGAAGCTATCGTTACAATTCCTCCTGAAGTTGTGCGCACTCTTGCTTCATCGACCGTTTTAGTAAAGGCATCTAGCCTTGTAAACCTAGATTTTGCTGGCATTTTCGCTGGATGTTGTAAAAAGCTGTATTGTTGTTGTGGTAGGCGGAGTAGCCTTGCGGCGTGGGAAATTGAGTTTGGAGGATCTTTCAGAATTACATAAATCAAGTAGATGATTCGAATAACTTTCAATTGGAATGTAGGAATGCAAAAATGAATGAAGGATCGATCATATAAGAGCTTCTTCTTTTCAAAAGGCCTTCCGGCAGAAGCATCAAATGTGAGTTTAGTGAGAATATGTAAGTAAGAAGAAGTAATTTTTTAATTTTGGAAAACTCTCAATCCTTCAAATCTCAGTCAGTCAGTCGCATTTTCAATTGAGGACAGCTTTCCATTGAATGGATTGCTCTCGGTCGGGTTGTTTTAGTCCCGCCCCTCTTGTGTGCACTTTCAAATCTAACCCATGTTCATGCAGGGAAAACTACGCGTAACACAGACATGATTATGGTTCAAAGCTTTGGAAGGTCGATTCGAGAATTGTCTGGGAGATGTGTCTGGGTGAAATGCACAGATATAGAAAGATTGAGAAGACAAAAGATACGGTATAAAATACTGGGCAGCTTTTAAGGGGATTTAGTAGAACTGTTACGATACTCTTCTCTTCTCAAACAATGGATTCATGACCACCTAATGTGTTCTACGGGTACCTGCTGGATTGAGATAGATATCTGTTGCCTGAGGCATGACATGAGCGGCCGCATGTGAAAGATAGCAGCCTCGGCATCAGTAGCCTTGTGAAATTTTTGGTGAGGCTGAGTGTTAAAAAGAGGGGTTGAATCATGAAGCATATTTAAATTGAACAAATGTTGAATACCTACCTGATAAGGATTGTCCATTACAAAACTTGTTTCCTGGTAAATAGTAAGACCTTGACTCATTCATGAATCATCTGTACACTTGCAGTATGACCTTCCCAGGTACCCAGTAGGCAGAACCTTAAATCAAGGCTGGGCAGCAAAATCATCATGATTTGTCGTTTCAGCCTTGCTTACGTCAGTATTAAAGAACTTCTTATTCTTCTTCCTAGTAACTTCTTCTCTTTATCCCAACAAACCTTCTTTCTTTCACTCTCATCATCAACTTGAACCAAAATCATTCAAAACAATAGGACCGAAATTCCTTTACACCGTCGTTTTTACTGAATCAAATCGATTGCGGTAAATCTTCACCCCTTCTACGAAACATCCACCACTCTTTCGAGAAAAATCGCATCTTCAAGATACGTCATAACAATCAGCAACAATCTTCTTGCACACTTTGCGACTTGTAATATTTAACCAACATTGCAAATTCAAATACGACTCTTATAACCAGAACGACTTCAAGATGATGAACCGAACATCAGCGCCTCCTAGAGGTCCGCGAAACTCATCTTCAAGTACAAGAGGTGGTGGTCGCGTGGGTGGTGGTGGTATCACAAAGCGACGAGCTGGTCCTATTCGAGTCGATAAAGATGGAGACTTAGATATGGATACCACGACAGGCGCAAACGGTCGCAAAGGGGGAAAGGGTGCCATCGGAGGTTCTGTTCCAACTGGACCACGCGGACATGGACGGGGAGGTGCAAGAAATACTGGCCGTGGTGGAGGAAGACTCGACGTCACACGAAATCCGCAGGCCATCCTTCGAGGCATGGGATCGCAATCGCAACAAGCCAACGTATTGGTGACTCTCTGGATCAAAGGATTGAAGGGGAGTAAAGCAGCTTCAAATAGTGACCAAGGCCTTTCGTCCCTAGTATCATTCCTCGAACGCAAGGCCACAGCATTGGACTCCAAATCGAAGAGAAGTATAAGAGTTAAAAAGGTACGTTTTTATCGCCATGATTTCGGGATCACGAGTTCCACTGCGCTGTCGCCGTAATTTTTCGCTCTTGTCATGTCAAGTTCACTACAACGAGTCGAGATTTGACACTTTCGCTTTACCACCTCATGATCCCGGTCGACTTCAAGGTTATCTATACCTTGCTAACCCTCGAATAGTCACACAAGAAAGGTGACATCGTTGTTATCTCAGTTGCCCCGGAAGACGCAGCCTCTATTATGAAGCTGGATGGTTTTGCATTTGCTGGATCAACAATTGGCGTACAAGATAGCGAGCCATCGAAGACGTCGGAGAAGGCGGAGTCTGAGGAGGCTCGGTTAACTCGAGAGAAGATCCAGGGAGTTCTTGCAGCTCGATACGATCCCAACCTCAAGCTTTTAAATCTCTCAGCTTTGGGACAAGACGAGCAGTTGAAGCAGATGGGAATGTTCGAAGATAATACTCTTGTCTCGAAGCTTTTCCCAGTTTTGATGGTCATCTGCGACAAATTATTCACCACTCCACAAGCTAAGAAGGATGCTATAGTCAGCGTCACTTTGACCGACAACTCATTGGCCGATCTTTCAAACGTGACCTCCTTGGCTTCAACATTTCCAGACTTAAAGAACCTGGATCTTTCCAGAAATCAATTCACCGATCTGGAATCCCTGAAATTATGGCGCTGGAAATTCCGTCACCTTGAGAACCTAGTTTTATCAGGCAACCCTATCGAAACCCTCGTTCCAGATTACGCAACCGATATTGTACGCTGGTTTCCGGAACTTCAACAGTTGAGTGGTGTCCAGGTCAGAAGTGTTGCTCAAGTCCATGCAGATCTTGAGGCCATTAAATCACCATTCCCAATCGCTAGCCCATCTTTCCGAGATGTCGCACAAGTTGGGGAAAACTTTATAAGACAATTTTTCGGAGCATACGATAATGATCGCAATGCTTTACTCACTAACTTCTACGATGCCGAGTCTTCTTTCTCACTATCTGTCAACATGTCAGCAGTTCGAGATCGCAACCATTCATTGCCTGTTCCACCGTGGGCAGCATACAACAAATTCAATCGAAATCTTGTCAAATATACACATTTATCTACTAGATTATCTCGAAAGTCTACTGGGTCTCAAGAAATCCAAGCCATCTGGAACGACTTACCTAAAACAATTCACCCCGAGATCGCCACCCGACCCGAACTATATCTTGTCGAATGTCAGCCCCTTCCAGGTCTTCCTGATCCTTCTGGACAGAGTGCCGCTGGGGTTGACGGTCTTCTCATCGACGTACACGGTGAATTCGAGGAGAATATTCCTAATTTTGAAGGCAAAGCTCTCCGTAGCTTTTCGCGGTACTTCATACTCGGACCTGGAGGGCCTAATGGACCCCCTATTAGGGTTCTTAGCGATATGCTTGCGCTTAGGGCTTGGAGTCCTTTGGCTCAGACGACTGCAGTTCAAGGACCTCAGCCGGTTCCGGTGCTTCCAAATGTTCCTCAGGTTCCTATTGTCGATGCTTCACTCACGCCCGAGCAACAACAAAAGATATGCGCCGAGAAACTTTCCGCTGAGACAGGCATGAATTTACAATATTCGGCCATGTGCTTAGCAGAGACAGGATGGAATTTAGAACAGGCTTACATTGCTTTCCAAGCCAACAAGGCAAATTTACCAGCGGAGGCTTATCAAAAGCCATAGGTTAGAGGAAGGACGGAAGGGGGGAGGAACGAACGTAGAAAGAGTTCATCAGCACCGGCGTTTTTTTGGTTTTTTTGTGGATTAAGATAATAAAAGAGAAATGGGTGGCGAGCATTTTGCATGAAATGGAGGTTATGGCAGCATCACCTGGAGTTTTTTTTAAGCTTTTTTTTTGGTCTCGTCAGAATTGCAACAAGCAATTCTTAGCGCAAACGGAGTTTGGGAAATACATACATACAGTTATAAAAACGTATGTTTAGCGGAAATAAAGGGGAGGGATGCATATGAATCATTACACGCAAATCAAATTTTGGACGATGTGCTCTGTGCTCTGTGTGCTCAGCGTCTTCGGGAAGGATACGAGGAATCTGTAGATAGAATGGATGGATGGATGGATGGATGAACTTGTCCGAATTATGATAATTGGTACTGTACGGTACCATAGATACCAGGTACTCTATAGCGGATTGTACAGGGTTTTAATTCTTGATTCTTGAATGACTATTTGCTTGTTGTTTGTGTGATTTTGTATGGTTAGATCACTCGCTCACTCACCCACTCACCCACTCATGATAAGAACATATAAAAAACTCGGAACGTACGTTACCTACTTAGATACTACATGTAAGGTTAAAAAACAATAGCTACCTAGGCTAGGTATCTACCTGGCTATATAGGATAGCTAGGTACTTAGCTACCTCCTCGCTAATTTTTACCGATGATGACTTCATTCTTGAATCTCGATGGAAGGAAAGGAAAGGAAAGGGAAGGAGAGGGAGAAGATAAGATTCTATTATCTATTGACTCATCTATCTGTGTTCACTTTATTATATTATATCATATCATAGTATGTTATATCATATCATATTACATCACACCCGCCTCAGTACTTAACATTTTTCTTACCCAGATAAGATTATCTATCTACCTACCTAGGTAGTTAGAGATGGAATTTAATTATGATATCTTTAAGAAGGTTTTATAATGTTAGAGAAAAATAGAGTATATTTGTATTTATTGAACTAGAATAGAATAGAATATAGAATATAATAGAACTCGCCGAATGTTTATCTTCTTTTGTAATGCTTCTAATCAGGGACTTGGGTAGGTTTTATCTAGACTTACCTATGTATTCTCATTTATTTATTGATCTCCTACAGTTTAGCTCCTGTATAAGATTCTAGTAATAGGTAGGAAGTCGTTAGTTGCAAGTGAGAAGAACTAGAGCAATAACATCATCAGATTTATCCCCACGAGTACGATGTCAAATATCGAATATCACAATTAACTATTAAATTTCTTATTATTATTTCATTCATATCGCTATATAAATCTATTACGTTTTTCTAATTCTCCATGCTCCAACCCTTCCATATATCGAATACTATATATTCCCACCCGCCTGTCTCAACGGATGCGCCTCAGTATTCAACACCCACTCATCCAAACTCACTACTTCTGGTTCACTAAACAACAAGTAGAAATACTTCAACGTCTCTGCCAACCAGAAACTCTCCATCGAATCTTCCTTGTCTGGTTTTTGCTCCATCACATTTTTGATTCTCGCATTGGCTAGAGGTGTATGCGTATGTTTCACAATGGCTTTGAACATTTTCCAGCCCGTTTCTTGCCAGGCGCGATCACCCGTTAATCTATACATGATGAAGACGGATTCGATGGCTTCAGGGCGGAGTTGGTAGGATGGATCGTCGACGCGAATATACCCGGTGTCTGAACTGGAGCCGGAGAAAGTACAGGAAGATGTATTGGTGCAAGGGATGACGTGGAAGATTTCGGGCATGATTCCCGAAGGTGTGTGTTCGTATGCCCAAACGCAACCTTTGGTGAGTTTGATGGCAGTTTCCATTTCTGATGGGGATTGGGATATCCGGGAGCCAAGACCTATCATACCTCCTGTGAAACAACCAAGATGTTGGATCTGAGCGGTTAGGAGTGGTTTGCCGGAATTAATATTCACTGTGCCTGTGAAGAGAATATCGGGATCGCCTGGGAGATTGGGACGAAAGACTAGGTGCTTGCTTATGGTTGATAATGCAGTACGATACATTTTCAGGTATTGATCAGCAGAGGAGGATTTTGGAAGAAGTAAATGAGTCTTTGGAAGATATTCAAAAGCAGAATCTTTGATTGTATACGTTAGTGAAGGAGTGAGATATGAGAAACATCGATTGACCTACCGGCAAAAGCTCCCAAAGTAAAAGAACGACTCCCAAATGACAACTCAGATCCCATGCAATTAGCTTGAGATGGCCACATTCCTGGTAGTGTCGTAGTATTCTGAGTAGCTTCCAGTTGATCCGTAATTTTCTGTATTGCATTTGCGTATTTTTGATCACCAGTGACTTGACTCAAACGAATGAATTCGAGTGAGAGACTTGCGATTTGGGCGACTAGAACACCATTTTCGCCGGCTATCTTGTCTCCTTTGGGAAGGTCCTTTTCCCACCAATAATATGGAGTAGGGATACCACTCTCAGTATTAAATGCTCTGAATAATAAGTCCCCAAGCTGTTTTGCTTTCTCAAGCAAAATAGGATATTGATGACCACTGTTATCCCAAGCCCCCAGCAACCCACCGAGATACCGAATGGTAGTTTCGAAAACAGGTACACGTTCAGCATTGGGTTTAGAAAAGTCGATGTTCTTAAGTGATTCCAAGGCTTCTTCAAATTCTTCCTTTAGTCCCATAATATAAAGTGTATCCAGGGAATCCACCAATGTCGCAGCCCAACCCACAAATGTGTCTTTTTGACCACCTGAAAGTGGCATCACCTCGTCATGCATCCATGCATTCTTTTTATATCCGTTCCATGCATGTAGAAATTCCTCTCTCACTTTCTTTTGCTTCGTTAATCGTACTTCTTTCGCAGGTCTGGATTCTCTTGGAAATGTGGTTGCTTGTATGCTATATCGACCAGTATGAGGTAGTGGTAGATCTATCGAAGGATGGAAAGAGAAGAATCCATATCGACTGTTTAGTGAGAAGCGGTTGGCCGTGGAAAAGATGTAGACGAGTATTAAGAGTACAACTGTAATGGGTATGAACCGTTTTTGAAATCTTGTCCGTTGTGATCCTGGATACGAGCGTGGGGTTAGGAGAGCTTTCTCCTTATATTCGAGAATCATTCTTTGAATTGCTTGTAAATTTTTCTTCTTATGACTTTAGGCCAATGTGGATTCTCTAGATTTCATCAATTGAGGGAGATATCTCAAGATTGTGAATAGGACAGGCAGGAAAAGAAAAGGAACAGGGAAGGAAAAGGGTATCAAGGCGGAGTGAGAATAAGTGAATCAATCACTGTTCTGGTAGATCGAAGTGAATAGAAAATACTTATGGTTGTTTGAAAGGCCTATACCTAACCACAAACACTCTCATCCAGCTGTCAACGTTTGACATAATCGGGGTGCTCATCTTTTCGAAACTCTTGGGAGGAAAGAGCGAGCTATGGTTAATCGTTAAATCTCTCTTGATGAATATCATCATATATCATGAGATATCATTGGGCGATGAGTCGCACATGCCCATAATATATGGAAACTCACTTGCTTCTCGATTCAAAGATGTTTCGGAGCCAAAACTCGAGCGGGGACCTCAGAATCGAGAGTTAAGCTTCATTGGGTTAGACCGATCTGTAGATCTGCGGGTGTACCTATTCCTTGGGCCCATTTTCAATCCAACTAACCCACAAATTGACAACCCAAGCCACCCTTAAAGTTTGAATCAACCATAAATAGATGGATTGGATCTTCATATTTAATTTTCTTTCTCGAAGATCGAATGATGACATTGTTGATTGTTCTACGATGATCCCCTACCAGAATATATCTGGGTAATGATAAGAATCATGGATGGTATAAGATCAACATGAAAACTTCGACAGGAATTTTCGGCTTTCCGTGTTCAGCTTGGCTGTGTCTGTTTGACTCAAGATAGCACGGACAAGAGCATACTCAGCCAGCAAACTCATGTATCATGTCCCACAAAGGTTTCTTCAACGGATGCATGAAGACAAGTACTGGTTGTCATGATTGATTGTTAAGTTGAGTTTCTGGAAGCGAAAGCCGAAGCCGAGTGGTACGATGGATGTCACCCCAAAGGCAATCCCGACGTCGAACACCTGTATATGCAAATCGAGAATGACTTAACCTCGTTTGTTCGTTTGTTGACTCAATGGCATGAAGTCGTGGTATTCATTCAATCTCATACATCACATGTAAGGGAATTTGAGAGTTTGAGGTGTTTAATATCAGCATAATTATGGTCTAGTTTCCCTCACCGACTTCCTGTCTTCAAATATGGATTAAAATGGGCCCGAATATCAATCTGATCATGCAATCGTTTGTGTGATACAGCCACCCCGCTGTCACACAACGACGCCTACTTTGATTCCATTCTTACTACTTGCAACTCCGGTCATTAGTTCCACCCACTCCATGACCTCGTCCTTGCAGTTTATTTCTCTCCATTCTTGTGCCATCCTCGCTAGTACATACGCCGTTTCCGTCAAAGCCAAATTTTGACCAGGACACATCCTCGGTCCTCCTATAAAGGGAAGATAGTTCCACCCTGGTCGCACCGTCTCCCATCTCTCTGGTCGAAAGATATCTGGGTCAGGTTGGAAGCAAGGTGCTATCATGTGGAGGGCATGGAAAGATGCAAAAACTATCTGCCCCTTTTTCACGAAGATAGGTGACGTGCCTTGTGGACCGCCTCCATTGGGTAGTATGGTGTCTTGCAAGGCAATTCGTGTATCTGTGGGAGCAACGGGATGTAGACGTAAGGCTAGTAGCGTGGATTTAGTGATGGTTCGAGGAGGCAAGTGGTTACCACAACTTACTTTCCTTGATGATATACTGCAGATAGTGAAGATTCTTCAGCGATTCAAATGTGAATGGCTTATCACCCTCTGAAAGAATCTCAGACCTAAGCTTCTTCCACTTCTCGGCGTTTCGACAAAGATGGAATATCGCGTTGCCAATCGTGATAGCGGAAGATTCATGACCTGCTAAGAAGACATGGAGGATTTGGTTTCGAAGATCATCACGACTACCTGTCTGTTTTGCCATCTCATGCAACAATACATGGCGAGGATTACCATTGTCGTCATCTTCTTTTTGATCCGAATCTTCTACCTCTTCTTTTCCTCTTTCTTGCCGGGCATCCAAATAGCTGCGCCGAAACTCCATGGCTTTGTCTACATATCGATCCGCTAATGAATGGGTGATCTTTATTGATTTATACCATTTTTTGTCCCAATATAGGGATCTTAAACTACCTAGTTGGAAGCGAATTCCCATGCCTCTTATAGCATAGTCAAAAGCTGCGAGGCACTCTTCTGTCTGGAATGTGGTCTCTGGAGATAGTGTGTTCATGGACTCTCCGAAAAGAAACTCCGTCGATGTGTCGAAAATCTTGATACATGTCAACACTCAGATTGCAGTCAAATCGGTAAAGCTAAGAAAATGAGCAGTCATACCAGTTTATTTAAAAGTGGTTTCAGATTGACCTTGGTTCCATCTGTTGGAACCAACGCAAGAAATTTTTGAAAATGAACTTCGAAAGCTGGAAGATTGGCAACATTTGATTTGGTAAAGGTAGGTCGAATCAAGGCTCTGGAGTGTTCCCAAAACGGACCATCCATAGTGAACACCCCTTCACCAAGAAATGGCAAAGTAGGAGGTTGACGCAATGGCTGAACACCATAATGAGTAAAGTTTAGGGCATGAACAGTTTGCAGATTCCTCGCATCGACAGTACAGATAGCATGTTTGGTCTGAACTTTCGCCGAAAAAGTATTCCCGTAAGTTTGGAAGCGATTTACCCAGGTATTAAGTAGGTTTGACTTGATCATTTGACGGAAATTGTCGATGAAAAGATCAAGCCCGAGAATCGGGTCTTTGTTAGGATATTTAGGAGGGGATTGACAGCCATGCTTCTTTGATTCCTGTCGTACATGCCATTTCGATACAAGTGTTTCAAAGACATAGTAGGAAAATAATAAAGCAATGATAGTGCCACCAATTTCATTTCTGTATTCCATCCTCGCACTACAATAAAGTGGTACAAAACATGAATTTTGTGTTTGTGAAGAGGCGGAATGAATAGAAGCTACTCAAAGTGATATAAACATTCCATAGTTCCAACGAGTTGGTACTCCGAGGTACGCCTCGATCATGCATGAATATATTTCTCGGAAGTAACATCGCGTTACGCAGTAAAAACAGAGGTAGATGACCACGAATCTCTTTTCTGTTGGATCTTAGCAAGATAGGTTGTCGTCGATCAATTGTTTGTGCATGTCTTCCAACTTTCCAACCCAACGCCGGGTTTCACGGCATGTCCTGTCACGAAATTCCCTCATTGGTTATTAGCATAGAGAGCTTACTTTTCTCTTTCCTCTTCGTATATCTGTTGCTGTGATATATAGGCATGAATCGAGATTGTATCTCGTGTAGAACACTGGAATCTGGATTGGGATTGGGATGATGATGAGGATGAGGATGAGGATGGGAGAGATAATAATCATTATAATTAGGATAATATAGTAAGTGGTATTTACAACTTCACAACTTCAAGATACATACATACAGATATTTGAAAAACACGACCAAAACAAATTGAGATCTATGGGGTAAAAAGAGCTACGTCTATCAGGACATTATTTTGTGATAATCGAAGACTATAAAGTCCGAACTGGCGAAGAGATTGAGCGAGCGGTGGTAAGTAATTGTCTGGTTTTCATTCGCGAGATATAATGTTTGAATGGAATCCCTTTCCCTGATCATCTGAATATATATTATAGATTGATCGTACCTGCGTGCTTCTAATATATATCTAGATACCTAAATATATCATGCTAAAATGAGATACAGTACAAAAATAAATATCTTCAAAAGAAAACCAGACGAATGTATTCATGTACCTCTCTCAATTCAGATTTATAAATAAGTTAACATCTGTTAAAAAAACTACAGATAAACAGTGGGTATTATTTAAATCTCTATCTCCCTTTCATCAACCTCACTATCACGAACTTTCTCGCCTATCACCCATCATGCAACAAAAACCCTCTCACTCCTCGCATTATTCGCGTTCTTCCCATTTCCCCCTCCATTCTTCTTATTTCCATTTCCATTTCCGTTTCCGTTTCCGTTTCCATTACCATTCCCGTTCCCATTTCCTCCATTCTTTTTAGCAGCCGCAGTAGTAGTCGCTGCAGTCGCTGCTGATGCAGTAGTACTCGTAGCAATTGCCGTTAAAGAAGAGCTGAGAAGTGCTTCGACGGCGAATATTCCTTGTTCGTTAAGTGTTGCTTCAGAATTGGCTTTCATGGCGGCGGGAAGATCTTTGTTGTTTCTGTGGTGGGTGATGGTTAGTGGTTATCTCATGCGATGTATGTTTCCAAGTGATGGATATAGAAGAGTAATAGAAACATCGGAATCATGAAACTTACTGTAAGACCTGAGCTTCAACACCTTCTAATGTCTGCGCTGTGGCAATAGTACCGGGTGTGTTCTTGCTAGCTGTCTCATCTGTCTGCATTACTGCAAAGCAACCACCGAATGGACCAGCTTTTGCTGCGTTGAAACAGCGGATTGTACAGATATTTCCCGTTGAGGCTAATTTTGTGTTAGTTGCATTTAGTAGCTGAAGACCTTGGGTTACGGGTATATAAAGAGAGGGCGGAAGGAGAAGGGGTTGAGATACATACCGCCAATACAACTCATATTACTGGGCATGGTGACCGCCAATTTAATGTTCCCGTTTGTTCCATCCGTCTCCTTGACGGTCAACTTCGTCTGACCGGAGCCTAGTGCATTACTCGTCTGATCCATGTCACACGTATACGGCCCTGCTCCATTCGTACCTCCTTGCTGCATCACCACATTAACCGTACTTCCTTTCGTAACTGATGTTACGGTTTTATTGGCTAATTGGGTCTCAGTGTTTTCACCAATATCAATGTTGCCATTGAGAAGAGTACGTCCACATTCGTTGACGACGTTGGTGCTAATTTCGGTGGGGTTGATTATATTGGCGTCGTTGGCGTTAAGTACAACTTGAAGGGGGAGAGATGCGGGAGAGCCTTTGGTCCCTTGGGCTGAAAGAAGAACGCCTTGGGCGTGGGCTGAGATAAGGAGGGAGGAAGTCAATAGGAGGAGTTGATTGAGCGACAACATTTTGACTAGTTTGATGGTAGAATATAAAAAGTATATAATTATGCACAGCACGGTGGCAATATGAAGAATAGAAGTAGAGTAGATAAATCAGGAGAAAATCAGACCTGCTGAGGATAAGGTTATAATGAATGATGAAAGAAGATAGAGTAAGTGAATGAAATCAACAGCAGTGAGAGACAGAATTCCTTCAAGCCTGTGGTATGAGGATCATTTTCATCTTATACAGATGTCAAACTAAACATACATTTCCACCTACATAGCATTACGACGATTTTTCATACATGAGGCGATTTTTCAACATCTCAAACGTAGGAGTCAAAGATCAGATGCGAAGACCATACATCAAAAATACCACTTGGAACAGATTCCGTCGCGAGGGTGTGGGGCGGAATCAGCAAAATAGCCGAAAGTGACCTCTCATGATTGAGGTGAGCGAAAGTGGAGCCGTATCAGGGGCAATTCTAGCCGCTTGGCATGTGCCATGGTGCGAGAAGTGGAGAAAACTTCTGCAAGATCAATGATATGAGACGAAGCAGAAATGTATGGATGATGAACAACTCGAGGAATGGACGATTGACAGGGCTATTTTTATACTACAAAACCCGTTTATGCTTTAAAAATGGTAGATCGCGGGCAGAGAAGAGATACATATCTGCAAAGCAAAATACGCTAGCGATAAATTGTGATGATGGAAAACATATTCAATGGAGATGAAAGCATTTTTATTCTCATCTGAACTTTGAGATTGAGATGACAGTCTCTGCTTTCTCAATCACTCTTCGTTTCTTGCCTTGAGTATGCTGGAACGTCTTCTCCGGCTTTCCAGAAGTACTTTGATCCAGGATGTGACTCTGAAAGTCTGTTTTGACCTTTGACACCCAAATAATTTTCTCTTAGTGTGCCGCCAGGGACAGCGTAGTCATCCCAAAACAATCCTCTCTTCCGTAGTTCAGGAAGTAAATACTCTATCATGTCGTCAAATGTCTCTGGAATGCTAGCATAACTGAAATTAAATCCGTCGACATCAGAGACCTCTACCCACCTTTCTAATTCGTCTGCGACTGTCTTTGCATTTCCGATGAGCTTCGCGCCATTTCCTCCCAGAATGAGATGTTCGGCAATGGTCTTTTTGTTCCAGGTTAAACCTTGTGGGGAGACTGATGCCCAGTGATTTACCATACTTCTTACTGCAGGGGGAGCGCTTTCAATGAACCGAAAATCTTCATCATCACCATATGAGCTTAGATCATATCCAGACCAACCTCCAAACAACGATAAGGCTCCTTCTCGATCGCCGTAACTTGCAAGCTTCTCAAATTTCTCCTGTGCCTTTTCATCGGTCTCAGCAACAATAACCAAAAGCCCAGCGACAATCTTGATACTAGCCGGATCTCTTCCTAACTCCTTGGCTTGCGAGCGAATCGAGTCTACCGACGGACGAATAAGCTCTGGTGTGTGTGCATTCAAGAAAATGGCTTCAGCATGGGTGGCAGCAAATTTCTTTCCCGCTGAGGATGTTCCAGCTTGGAATAAAAATGGGGTTCTTTGGGGAGAAGGTTCACACAAATGTGGGCCTGGTACATTAAAGTATTTTCCCTTATGGTTGATCTGCCTTACACCCTTTGGATCCGCATATGAACTCGATCCTGGGGGTTGCACAGCATCATCTCTCCAAGATGCCTCCCAAAGCTTATATGTAACGTCAAGGTACTCATGGGCAATCTTATATCGCTCATCGTGTTCGATTTGAGTATCGAGGCCAAGGTTTCGAGCTGCAGAATCGAGATATGATGTAACTATGTTCCATCCAATTCGCCCATCACTAAGATGGTCTACTGTTGAGAATCTGCGAGCAAGTAGATAAGGCTGTTCGTAGGTTGTTGAAGCAGTCACACCAAATCCAATACTTTTTGTAGCTGCAGCCTTTTTTCTCAGGTCAGATATTGCTTTGTAGCGAGCCATAATTCTTCTAGGAAAAACTTACCATGGCAGGAATGCTATATAACGGATCATTTATCGGGAATTGAGATGCCGCAGGTATTGTCGGTTCAAGATTGGCAGGGCCTTTGTAAACATCATAACCTCCTAGAACATCTGCGAAGAATATGGCATGGAATTTGGCCTTTTCGAGTTTCTCGGCAAGTGCAATCCATGATTTGATATTCTTGTATTCGGAACCTTGATCACCAGGATATTTGAAGAGACCTGGATTGAGATGGCCGGGTGCTTGCATGGCAAACGCATTGAGAATGAGCTGTTTCTTAGTGGAAGACATGTTGAATATGCGGATTCAAGTAATCGGATAGGAAACTGATTTGAACAGAGATAATGACGGCGTCGAACCTTACAGTTTATCTTCAAAATGTAATGAGAGGGAGGACGCGCGAGCAGTAAAGGAAACCCAGACTTACAATCTATACTCTAGACCTTAGGTAATGGCATTATCTCAATCAATTGTAGATAGCTGCCAGTGCCGGTACCATGCGCATGAAATGACGAGAATATAAGTTCCATCGTGCCATCATTCGCGGAAGGTTAAAATGCAGCATGATGAAGAAGACTCTCGTCTGATTGAGTATTGATGGCGTCTTATTCCTTGCAAAAGCACAAATACGCTAACCCCGCACGTGCCCCGCCAATGAACGCACATCCATCTCGCGGCTTGAAGCTCAACATCAGCTCATCAAGCCAATACATACTAATTCTGGTGATTTTCTCCTTCATACCCTTCCACTAGAAACTATCGACGCGTGGACTAGTACCGAAGAATGAAGTCGACAATCCCCCATGTAATCACATAATTATCCAGATCTTGTCAATCCTTCCTATCAATCTTCTTTCCAATGCTTGTTCCTTCCGAACTGTACCGCAAATTTCGTCATGTCGTGCATCAAATAGATGCCCAGATAACCACAATCGTTACGAATGCAACTCCAACTTACCCCTCTATGTCCAGGGTTGCATGTCTACTTGCGATGATCGGGAGAATATCGTAGAAAGCACCCTAATGATAAGGATCTCGAGTTGAGTCTCCTCAGTCCTAAAGCTAGGAGAAAATATGGGTCCGAATTCCATGTTGATACAGTTCGTGGATGCTGCAATGGGATACCATAATATCGTGATTGATAGTGTCAATTATCTTCGTGGAGTGGTTCTGTAATGTGTTTTACTGTTGCCATCTCTTTTGTTTCCTGTCCTCTTGTGATACTTTTCAATTGTCATTCTCGTTGTTTAGAAGTCCTAGATAGAAACCTGCAGATTTTACTTCACTCACCTAGACATTCATCAAAAGTCAGCTATTGACAAACCATGTCACCTTCTGCGGTTACTTTGGAAACACAGGGGATTGATGCTGCTTCAAACCCCAAAATCGTATCTTCATCTCCATCGTTTGCGGAGGCGCAAGCTTCAACGGCCATCGATGACAAGGCAAATGGAGATGGCGTGGCTCAAAACAAATCTTCTTTACCATTCAGACCTACTCCTCAGCCCTCTTTCGAAATAGAAGACCACCCAGTCGATATTGTTAAACCCCTGAAGGTCTGTGACTATCTTAATTCTTGTTTCCGAACGGTACACTAACCGATAATTTAATAGGTTGCAGTTATTGGTGCTGGTCTTGCTGGAATCAACGCAGGTATTCTTTTACCTGCTAAGGTGCCTGGAATTCAACTTACAATTTTCGAGAAGAATGCCGATGTTGGTGGGACTTGGTTTGAGAATATCTATCCCGGGGTTCGTTGCGACATACCTGCAAACGTATATCAATCAACATTTGAGCCTAATACCCAATGGTCCGAAGAATATGCACAAGGAAAGGAAATCAGAGAATACTGGCAGAAGGTTGCAAGAAAGCACAACGTATACAATTACCTCAAATTTAATCGCAAGATTGCTGGGGCAGTCTGGGATGAGGAGAATGCACAATGGACATTGAGTATCGAGAATGTTGAGAACGGAGATATAACGGAAGAGCAATTCGAAGTAGTCATTACGGCAATCGGTAGATTTAATGCTTGGAAACTCCCAGACTACCCTGGTATCGGCGATTATAAGGGACATCTTCGACATTCTTCAAATTGGGACCCAAACTTTGATCCTACGGGTAAAACTGTCGCGGTCCTTGGAAATGGTGCTAGCGGCTTGCAAGTGGTTCCAAACCTTCAGAAAGTTGTGAAGCATTTAGACCATTATGCACGTAGCAAGACTTGGATTGCGGGATCTTTCGGTGGTGAAGGTGAAGGTAGAAGATTGGAACCAAATTATTTTCCTCCAGATCTCCTCAAATCATTCGAGGATCCAGAAACGTATCAAAAATTTCGAAAAGAGCTTGAGGGAAAATTCTATGGTCGATTTGCCGCTCTATTCAAAGGAACAGAAGATAACAAGAGACTAGAAGAAGATTTTCGAAAGTTGATGGCAGAACGTTTAAAAAAGAAGCCAGAGTTATTGGATGCTATTGTTCCGGACTTCGCGCCAAATTGTCGTCGTTTGACTCCTGGACCTGGCTATCTAGAGGCTTTGACCGAGGAAAACGTCTCTTTTATTCAAACTCCTATCGAGAGATTTACCGAGGAAGGTATTGTTACAATTGATGGTGTCGAAAGAAAGGTCGATGCAGTAATATGCTCCACCGGAGCAAATATTGATATGCGACCACCATTTCCAATTGTTGCATTCGGTCATAATCTACGTGATGCATGGGATCCTGACCCTCTTACATATCTTGGAGTCGCATCGCCTTCCTTCCCCAACCTTCTCTTTGTCTCCGGACCCAATGCTCATGGAACAAGTGGTACAGTTCCAAACCAAACCGAAACACAAATAACTTACTTGGCCAAGATACTGCGAAAAGTTAGCCAGCAGAGCATCAAGACCTTCGTCCCATCCAAGGAGGCGACAAATGATTTCATCGCTTATAGTGATGCTTTCTTTCCCAGAACAGTATGGACAGATAATTGTAAATCTTGGGCAAACTCTGGCAGACCAGGAGGAAGAATTCATGGTCACTGGCCTGGAAGCGCATCGCATGTTAATTTTATAAGAAAAGATCCCAGGTGGGAAGATTGGGAATATACCTATAAATCCAAAACTGGAAATAGATTTGCATATCTAGGAAATGGTTGGACGGTAAAGGAGACGATTGCGGGTAGTGACTTGACTCCATATCTCAAACGCCCGGATCAGATCGATTTGAGAAGTTATCATGAAGAATGGTTTGAAGGCTTATAGAGTAGATCGTGTCAGATAACATCGAATTTTTAATAATATACAAATTTTTCACCACAACCTTCGCGACATGGCAAGGGCCTGTTGGACACAAAACTCTGCTGCTCGACTTTTTCGAGCTCTGAAACTGTCAATTCTGAATTTCCAATACCCCCCATCTCCAGATCAAATCCAGTAATTTGGTTCAGACCAGGAAGTTCAAGATTTGACTTTTCTTTCCAAAAGAGAAGTCTAGATGAACCCAACCTAAAAGAAACCTCGCAAAAAAGATTTAAACATTTTCGCGACGGATCCGATAGAGGAATTTAGGCAAGCGTATCTGCTTATCGTTTGCCAAATCCCCCTAGTACACCGTTAGTTCGAGTATGATGTTCGTCATGACAAGGTTTCGATTTCGTGCTCGTCACGCCATGTAAACGACGCGGAAAATATATGTGTGCCGACACTTGAGCTCAACATGAGTACCGTGCATGCATATCTGAGATAATCTTGGATAAATAAAATGGTCTAGGACTCCAGTATCGAATCTTTACTTCTCTGTTGCGCGGTTTTACTTGTTTTCCACTTTATTGAGAATCATGGCGTCGGATAAATCAGGAGCACTCGATACTTCATTGTCTTCGGATAATGAAGCTCTACCTATAGTCAGGGAAAAGCAACCAGGTACTTCTTGTTTCTCCTTCTTATATCTCTTTTCCTGTATATACAAAGCTGATAAAAATAACAGTAAAATGGTACCGTTCCACCCTCTACAACTCCATAATTCTTGGAATCTGTAACTTCCTGGCCCCAGGTATCTGGGGTGCCATGAACAGTCTCGGCGCCGGTGGCGAAGAATCTCCTCATCTAGTTAATGCCGCCAATGCTCTCACTTTCTGCCTGATGGTATTATCCTGTTTCTTCTCCTCCGTTCTCGTTAAATATATTGGTATCAAGGCCGCTCTCATTTTCGGTACCATGGGCTATGCCCCTTATGCCGCTGGTCTCTACTGTAATAATCGATATGGAAACGAATGGCTTGTACTTCTCGGTGCTGCCCTCTGCGGTATTTCCGCAGGTGTGTTCTGGATGGCTGAAGCAGCCATCGCGCTGAGTTATCCGGAGCCAGAGAATCAGGGAAGATTCCTGGGGCTATGGTTGAGTTTCCGTGTTGCCGGACAGGTACTTGGCGGCGTGATCAACCTGGCTCTTAATGCGGATAATTCGGGCAAAGGAAAGGTATCCTATAATGTATATCTTGTATTCATCGCGCTACAAGCCCTCGGACCCTTCGCAGCACTTCTCCTCACACCACCTGACAAGGTTCAGCGAACTGATGGAGTAATACCCAATCTTCGAATTTCTGAATCAAGCTGGAGAGAAATAAAACTTACGTCAAAACTGTTTATAAGTAAATATTTTTTGTTGCTGGTTCCAGTTATTGCGCAAGGTGTGTATAGTGAGGCGGTTATGTTTACATACGAATCTGTTTGGCTTAGTGTTAGAGGAAGAGCATTAGGCTCGTTTCTTTCGGGTATTGTGGCAATGATTTCTGGTAATCTATTGGGTGCGTTCTTGGATCGGGAGAAGTGGTCTTTGAAGAAGAGAGCGAGGTGGGCGTTTATTGTTATCTTGGGATTGCAAGGTGTAAGTAGAATGCGCCCATTGATTTTCGAGTATCTTGATACTAACTCCTATGTTATAGGTATGGTGGATATGGGGAACCGTTCTGGTCACAAATTACTGGGGACAAAATCCGCTACCAGTATATGATTGGACGGATGGTGGAGCATTTGTTAGAACCTTTCTATTATTTTTAGGATGGGTCTCTGGGTTTCAACTCAATTATCTATTCTTGTGAGTTTCTATCACCCACTAAAATTCACTTTCCACCCATACAAAAACAATTATAAATAGCTAAACTCTAACAAAAATTAGATACTTCCTCGTCGGAAACCTCGCCAAGACTCCTGAAGAGGTAGTAAGAATCGCAGCACTACTTCGAGGAACTGAATCAGCTGTTCAGGCTGTTAGTGTAAGTCTCCCCTTGTATTCTGTGAAATTGTCATCCATATTACGTTTTAACTAACAAAATATATAGTACGGTTTGAATAGCATTACAGTGATGGGTGATATTGGGGGCGTATATCTCAACTTTGGTCTTTGGGGATTAGCGTTGATCCCAGGATGGTTACTTGTAAAAGAGATTGGAGTAAGTCTTGGAGATAGTAAGATTGCGAGGGAGAGGGAGGTAATTGAGAGATCGTGAAGAGAGAAACAGCAGAGTGATTGAATGTTAGGTGGGGTAGGATTTAATTTTTAGATTCAAGACAGATTCGGTTAATATTATGGATTAGGAGCTCATGACTTTACTAACATACCATATATCATTCTTATGAAACTTGACATATTGTCTGATCATCAATTTTCCCAAGTGGGGCTTAACGCATCGCGTATTTGGGTTTTGATGGACGGGGGTGTATGCAAGGTCTGCTAGATGAGGGATATGAGACTACTGAATCATTTTGTGGTCAAGTTCTCTGTGAGTTTACGCTGTGTGAGTTAGGGTTAGCGAAGTTTGAAACATTAATGCGTTTCGATAGTCGTGAGATCTCACGTTGACGCTATTCCAGGAGTATATTGAGATATCACGGCATTATTTATCAAAACATCTAAATCTTTTCCGTCACATTGGGTCTCTAGTTGGGCAACAGAGTGTTTGATAGAGAACTCGCTAGTTGCGTTGAGTTTAATGATGACTATTGAGTCGAATCCCCACTATCCTTGTTCGATGCTTTCTTTACAATACTGCCTACTTCTTACATCGGCTTCTCCTTCTCAATATACACTCAACTAATCCTCAAAAAATCAAATCAGTGAAATTTGATACGGAAATTGTATAGACATGGCTTCACCTCGAAAGATTGATAACCTGCCAGTTATTAAACAGCGGGCGCTTGACATGCAAGTGCTTTGTCTGGGGCTCTCTCGTACTTCCACGATGTGTGAGTCTCGCACAAAATTAGAAAATGACTTCATTGTACTGACTTCCTTTCGCACTACAAGAATCACTCAACAAATTAGGCTACAGAACTTATCATTGTCGAGTTGCAGCACCCACAAAAGGTCATATCTCCCTATGGTTGGAAGGCTTCGACGCCAAGTTGAACGGAAATGGCAAATCTTTCGGTCGTGAGGAATTTGATCTTACCAACTTTAGCGTCAGTGTTTTGTTCAAAACTATCTCATTACTCAAATGTGTGCTGAATCATTCTATCGTGTGTGCTGAATCATTCCGATAGGCTACCACAGATATGCCAGCTGTGAATTTTTCTGAAGAACTCCTGGCGGCATATCCAGCTGCGAAAGTCATCTTGACCACGAGAGATCCAGATAAGTGGATTGAATCGGTGGAGAGATCAATGTATGCTGTTATACACTCGCGCATCTGGCCCTTGTTAAAGATTATTCTGCCAGTATGTAACTCTTTTAAAATCAAATAAGAGTCTGGCCTGTCAATGTTAACCAAGTACAAACATAGGAAGCCCTCCCATTCCGTCAACTTCTCATAATCGCACTCACTGACTGGTCCGATGGCGAACCGGAAGATTGCAAAGCTCTTCGCGCAGGATTTATTGCTCATAATGAGAAAATCAGAAGACTTGCTGGCGGAAGACTTCTTGAGTTCTCACCCAAAGATGGTTGGGAACCACTCTGTAATTTTTGGGCAAGCCTGTTCCAAATGAACCTTATCCGTATGTCAACGCGGGAAATAATACACACAGGCTGTTTGTGCTTTCCATGGTGTTTTATTTCTTCATCAAGTGGTCTAAGTGGATTGGTGCCGTTGTAGTGGCATTGGCGACTTTTCGATGGCTGAAGCACTGAAATGTCGTGGTCCTCGGGATATTAGTACCTTATTTATGCAATGAAAATATCAGGATGATACTTTTAAAACAGCGTTTTGTTTCCATTTCATTTTAATGAGTGTTATGTAAGTTTGACTCTGAGCCTTTGCAGTTGCTCAAAGTACCACCTTCCTCAGAGGGTTTTCCCAGAGAAGAAATGTAGCCAGTATTCCACAGCCACTCAATCCTACTAGAACCTTCAATTGCTCACTAAGTCCGGCCGCATACGCCAATCTCATATCCTCCTGCAGTGATGCTGGTAGAATTGATATATCTTGAGATGATTTGAGCAGTGTCTCAAGCTGCATCGCTGCAACCTCTCCTTTCAATAAGGATTTAATCTTTCTATTTAAAACATTTGAACAGATAGCGATGCCCAAAGCACCGCCTAGCTCTCGAGCTTGGAAAAATGCACTCATAGATACAGCTATATTTGTTAATGTTAGTTAGGTAATTCGTTTTAAGTACTTCATTATTATACGATACATCCCAATTCCCCTTTCGATTCCCATTGTCATTCTCCTTTCCATTCTAAGATACCCTTCCTATCCCCATTTTGAGGTTTCCTCGTCTCTTTAGAGATTCGAATTGTAGACTACTATAAGAGTCTATATGAGGGTTTATTATACTAAACCTAATATGTAATCTTAGAGAATAAATATTCTTCTTATAACCAAAGACTAAGTCGGATACCCCACTTTCTGGCCACCCCCCTTTTGGGCCACTTTTTACACCAAAAATGGAAATTTTAACTCTCTCATTTATGGATAGAATTTAATGAAAATTTATATATATATAATTTGAATCGATTTAAGCTTATTCTGAAATTGTCAGATTTTTAGGATTTTTCTATATTGAGATCTAGAGCTTCAAAATATCGATTTTTAAATTTGTATGGGAATCACATACAAATTTGAAACTTTTATAAAATCTTTAATAACTTTCGAATAAAAATTGCTAAAAATATATTGTAAAATTTTACTATCACTTTATAATATATTTCATATAATAGATTCAGAAAAAATAAAAAATTTCTCATAAATAAATATTTAAAGGGGTACCCTCAAAATGACAGGGATTATTTATACTACTCTAAACTCACCGTATACTATATCTCTATATCTGTTAATTTTTTTGAATTTTTTTTTGAATTTCTATATAGATTCAAGCTCAAATATCTCAGAAATATATATAGTTTTCTTTTAATAATTGTTGTTAAAAAGTTATTAAAGGTTTTATAAAAATTCTAAATTTGTATGTGATTCCCATACAAATTTAAAAATCGATATTTTGAAGCTCTAGATCTCAATATAGAAAAATCCTAAAAATCTGAAAATTTCAGAATAAGCTTAAATCGATCTAAATTATATATATACAAATTTTCATTGAATTATGTTATATATTGATAGAGATATTAATAGGCCTAAAAAGTGATTTTTGGTGTGAAAGGGTGGCCCAAAACCCTGTTGGCCCGAAAGTAGGGTAACCGACTTATACATTAGAAAAGATTGAGAAGATTTATAATCAATATAAAATAGATATATAGATATATATACAGATTTGATATTTTGATATATTTATTTTATATTATTTCTATTTAAATCAATGATTAATATACATAATTATTATATTTATATAAACATATCATGTACAAGCCTTTATAATAGTCTACTATAAGAATCACTCTGCTCGTCGGGAAAAGCGACGATTAGACTACATAAGAATGCCCTACCCTACCCTACCCCGCTATCCCGCCGCCCTAACCAACTCCCCAAACCTACTCCCCTCTTTTCGGGCCAAGACCTCCGGCTCTCCCACCTCCACCACCACCCCTCGATCCATCACCACCACCCTCCCATAATCCATCACCATCTCCAACCGATGACTAACCGCCACCACCGTATACCCCTGAAATTCCTCTCGAATAACCCCCGCCATGACCCTCTCCGTCTGCAAATCCACACTCGAGCTCACCTCATCTAGCAACAAAATCCCCTTCTCATCCCCCCCTGCTCCTCCCGCTAAATTCCTCGCACGAATCCTCCGTCGAAGAAGCGCGCGTCCGAGAGAAAAAAGTTGTCGCTGTCCCGCGCTAAGAGTCGACGCATTCATATCCGCGTCCAATCCCCCGCGTTCTTGGATAAAAGACCAGAGATCGACGGTTTCGAGCACGGCGCGACATTCTGCGGGGGAGGAGATGTGGGAGGGATCGAGATTGGTTTGGAAGGTGGTGCCGTCGGGGAGGAAGACTGCTTCTTGGGGAACGGCAATGATGCGCTGACGGAGAGAGTCGCGGTTGATGCGGCGAAGCGGTATGTTGTCGATGATTGCGTTTGCGGCGGTTTCGTGAGTGGGGTCGAGCAGTTTGAGGAGGAGCGCGATTAGACTGGATTTTCCGCTGCCGGTACGACCACAAATTGCGATTTTCTCGCCGGATGTGATGGTGAGATTGATGTCACGAAGAGCTAAGCTGGTTATGCTATCGGTTGTATCTTCCACACTGTGAAAGGTATTAGCTTTACTCAATAATAGACATTACGTCCATTGGGACTCTCGTCTCTTACTCGTAACCTGCAGATATACCCTTCAATTCAACCACGCCACTATGAGGCCACTGTTCAGGAGGAACAATGTTCTCTTCATCCTTATCCTCCGGCTTAACATTCTCATTAAACATCTTCAATCGAGCAATTGCTCCAATGGAAGTTTCCAGCTTAGTATAATAAGTGACGATACCCGAAAGATTCTCTCCAAAGCTAATGAGTGTGTATAACGAAGCACCAGCAAACCCAGAATCGGAATGAAGTCGAACGGCAAGTGTTGTCACAACTACCGCCATTGCCATGACGACGAGATCAAGAACAAGGTTGAGCCATTCCTGAATCATGAGCAGGAAATACGCGGGTCGTTGACTAGCGTTGATGAGACGAGCATTCTTTTGAACATCATCGGAAACAAAACCTGTTTAGTTTAAGCATTAGCAACAACGACTTTCCTGAACACAGAATATTATTGCAAAACTATTGAAAATGCAATTTTGACTCATGAATTTAGACATTACTCACCAAAAGCTCTCAGTGTAGCAATACCTCTAAGAGTATCAAGAAAATGCGTACTAAACAACCACAAATTAGCATGAGCATAACGACCTATCAAGAAATGACATTTTGGCGCTAAACTTACTACAAAGGACTTTTCGCCTCAAGATCCAGCAACCTGAGCTGTCGAGACGTTCGCAGGTAAAATCGCTGCACAACGTAAAGCAAAGCGCCCAGAAGCGGGTAGCTTATAGCCAAGTACACAGACGAAGTGAGCATAACTGCCATTTGACCGACTGCTTGAAACACCTGAAACATTCGCGTTAGACTGTAGCACATATGAATTTCCTTCGAGGGTACTGACGACGTCAGGATACATGAGAAACTCACACAAAATAAAGTATTCAGCGTTGCATCTGGCAACTCGGTATCTATAAGATTTAGATCTTGAGAAAAGAGGTTCGTTACAACCCCGGTATCCGTCTTGGTAAAAAATCGCAGTGGTGCTCGGATCAGTGTTCGCAAAGCATCATGGTGAAGTTTAGCACCCGCTTTCTTAACAGAAACGATGAAAAGTGTGATGCCAAGAAGAAGTAATGAGATGAGACCGCTGATTTGAAGTAGAGCGTATATCCCAGCGTAGTAAGCGTGAGGTTTAGAGAAAGCGTCGTCGGTCCAATAATCGAGCCCTGTGATTCGTGACATTAGTGCTATGAAACTTTGTGGATTGAATAAGATTCCAATGATTTAGCCCAACATGGCAATCTGTTTGAGATCTCACTATCCATGAGTAGAACCAACTTACAAATTGTCGGGAAATTAGTGAAGAAGCCCCAAAGAGCAGCAAAGAACAAACTACATACTGCTGAAAACCAGCCCATGCTCAAAAAGTAGTGTTTGTATACCGTCCCATCACCCATTTGACGAGATTTATCTACTTCCGGTGCAAGCGACAACGTTTCAGCCGTCTTCGTCGCCTCTAGCACATGTGGCTCTGATTGACGGGCACTATCCTTCGACGTTATATCCTCCGACGAAACCTCGCTATCAGAAGAATTCTTCAATCCTAGACGTTGAACATAACCTTGTTTTCTCATCAACTCATTGAAACTACCTTGCTCTACAATGGTGCCTTTTCCAAGCGTGATAATGTAGTCTGCTGCTGGTAAATGTCTAACGCTATGAGTGCAAAGCACGACTGTGCATCGTCGTTTTCGTAGTAGCCCAGTAGCACCAAAAACCTGCTGGAATACCTTTTCCTCGGTATCCGCATCTAAACCACTGAATACATCGTCTAGTACCAGTAGGTCAGACTGCAAGTATAGGGCTCTTGCAAGAGAAACCCGTTGCTTCTGACCTCCTGACAAAATGATTCCATCGGATCCAATATTTGTTTGGTCTCCGAGTGGGAGTGTTGCTAGATCAAAGACTAGCGAGGTAGCATTGATTACTTCAGCATATCTCTCACTATCAAAAGGAGAAAACCCTATGATATTGTCCCTAACCGTCCCGTTATAGAGAAAAGCTGCTTGTTCGCAGAATCCAACGTGGGGAAATCTAGTGCTCAAAGACACATTACCTTCGCTAAAAGGAATTTCTCCAAGCAGTGCCTTACAGAGCGTCGATTTTCCAGACCCAATAGGTCCAACAACAATAGTGAGCGAGGATTTTGTTACTTTAAAATTCATGTCTCGTAAAACGAAATTATCTTCTTCCCAACCAAACTTTCCATTTTGGATAACAATAGGAGGCGCCAAATCTAGTTCCGAGTCTGAGGAAGCTACAATCTCAGTTCTGATCTTCTCTGCGTCCAGCTTTCTATCAGTTAGTACTTTGCGGAAATCATGACGATTTTCGCACTCCAAAAAGGCCTGGATACGTCCGAGACAGGCTAACCCAGAGATAAG